ATCGAAGAAGGAACGGGGATGGGTGTGGTAGGTGCCGGACAGGTACAAGACCAGGTTTTGAGCAGGCCGTTCGTACTCGTGTACGCAATCCTCCAGTTTGAAAGCTAATTCTGGACAATCGCACGTTGCGGTCTTGCGGTTGCTGCCGGAGGCGGGCGATCCCGTTCGTCGGCTGCGCTGGGGGCTTCCCGGAGGTAAAGCCGCTGCCTCGCGATCACAAGAGAAGCGGCGCGGGGAGAGCCTTGCAGCTGTAATATTGTGGAGGACGATCAATGGAGAGGAGGCATGTTGCCAAATCATTTCCAGATGTCTAAAACATGTGGTAAACATGTTCTGAACATGTAAAACCATGTTTGGAACATCTTTCTGACATTCTAGACACATGTACAACTCAAAGATAGGACTGCTAGGGTGTCCACTGTCGTGGCACCCACAACTGTAAGGGGGGGGGATGTTCGGAGGCGCGCCCCCGGGGGGAAGCGAGGGGGGGCGGGCCCTCTCAGCAGGCGGCCGAGGAGCCCTCCGAGGCAAAAAAAATCGCTTCGCTCATTCCGCTGGCCCTGGAGCGCCATTTGGAGCCTCTTGGGGCCGTCCTGGGGGCTTCTTAGGGGGCTTCTTGGGAGGGAGCGTCTTGGGGCTCCTTGGCGGCGCGTTGGGCTCCCCTGGGGCCTCTTGGGCTTGGGGGGCTCTTTGGGGGCCCAAAGGGCTTGCGGAACGGCGTGCTGTTGTGACAGAAGCTAACTCCGGCCGGGGGAAATCAAAGCAGAGACGTCCTCAAATAGATTTGGTGGTCCGGGCCGTGTCGCCTGAGACATATCCTCACAGCTCACGTTTCTGAGTTGTCCGGGGTTGGGTGTTTCGCGTGAGACATCCTCCAGATTCTGAGTTCCCAGATGCCGCGCAAGAGGTGGTCCAGCCCATTTCGCCTGAGACATCCTCGAAACTCTGATCTCCCAGATGCCGCGCGAGAGGTGGTCCGGCCCGTGTCGCCTGAGACATCCTCCAAACTCTGAGCTCCCAGATGCCGCGCGAGAGCTGCTCCTGGCCGTCTCGCCTGAGACATCCTCCAAACTCTGAGCTCTGAGATGCCGTGCGCGAGGTGGTCCGGCGCGTTTCGCTTGAGACACTCTCGCAACTCTGAGTTCTGAGATGCCGCGCAAGAGGTGGTCCAGCCCATTTTGCCTGAGACATCCTCGAAACTCCGGGCTCCGAGATGCCGCGCAAGGTGGTCTGTCCCGTTTCGCCTGAGATATCCTGCAAATTCTGAGCCCTGATATGCCGTGCGCGAGGTGGTCTGGCCCGTTTTGCCTGAGACATCCTCGCAACTCTGCGCTCTCTGATGCCGCGCGAGAGGTGGTCTGGCCCGTTTCGCTTGAGACATCCTCCGAACTCTGAGCCCCGAGCTGCCGCCCAAGGGGTGGTCCGGCGCAACTCTGAGCCCTGAGCTGCCGCGCAAGAGGTGGTCCGGCCCATTTCGCCTGAGACATCGTCACAACTTTGACCTCGGAGATGCCGCGCGCGACGTGGTCCGGCCTGTTTCGCCTGAGACATCCTCGCAACTCTGAGCTCTGAGATGCCCTGCGTGAGGTGGTCCGGCCCGTCTCGCCTGAGACATTCTCGCCTTTCCGAGCTCTGAGATGCCGTGCGCAAGGTGGTCCAGCTTACTTCGCAGAAGACATTCCCGCAACTCTGAGTTCTGAGATGCCGCGCAAGAGGTGGTCCAGCCTGGGGGCCCAGAAGACAACATGTTACATATCCTCCCTGGGACCCTGGGAGCCCCAGGAGGCGCCAGAGAGCTCCAGGAGGCCGCAGGACGCCCAGGACAGGCCCCAGGGGTCCCCAGGAGATTCCCAGGAGGCTCCCAGGAGGCCTCAGGAGGCCCCCTAATTATCAGAACGTATCAAGTTAATACACATCCTGTGCCGATTTGTTGATTTTTCCTGCTCTTGTGGCCCCCCCCTCCCTTTTGAGGGGCCCAAGCGGCCACATGTCAGATATCCCCCCCTAGGAGCCCCAAGAGGCTTCAGGAAGCCCCAGGTGGAGTCCAGGACGCCACAGGAGGCCCAGAAGGAAGCCCCAGGAGGTCCCCAGGAGGCCCCAGGAGGCCCAGGAGGCTCCCGCAACTCGGAGCTCTGAAACGCCGCGCTCGAGGTGGTCCGGCCCGTTTCGCCTGAGACTTCCTCTCAGCACGTTTCGCCCGAGACATCGTCGCAACTCTGGGGTCCGAGATGCCGCGCGCGAGGTGGTCCAGCCCGGTACGCTGGAGACATCCTCGCAACTCTGGGCTCCGAGATGCCGTTCGGGATGAAGTGGAGGATCAGGAGGAGGAGGAGGAGGAGGAGGAGAAGGAGGAGGAGGAGATGGAAGGGAGAAGGAGGAGGATGATGTGAATGAGGGAGCAGGCAAGAGGAGGGGGAGGAGGAGGAGGAGGAGGAGGAGGGAGAAGGAAGGGAGTTGCAGGAGAGGACCAAACGGGAAGCGAGAGTGACGTGGACTTGTCAGGACGTGTGCGAGAGGTTGTCCGGCCCGTTTCGTTTGAGACATCCTTCCAATAGTGAGCTCCAAGATGTCGCTCGCGAGGTGGTCCAGCCCGTTTCGCTTGATCCATCCTCACAATGCGAAGCTCGAACATGTTGCGCGCGAGATGGTCTGGCCCGTTCTGCCTGAGACGTTTCGAAGCACAGGGGCTCCAATCACAACCTCTCTCATTCCTTCTCCCGCCTCCCTCTTCCCGCTTCCCGCCTGGCTCCTCTTCCCTCCCTCCTCCCGCCTCCCGCCTCCCGCTGCTGCGCCTCTGCCTCCTCCTCCCCGTCCCCGCAGTCGTCGTTCTGCCGCCTCAGCATCCGTCATGCGCGCCCTGCCTTCCGCCCTCCCCAGACATCCGACGTCACGATTTTTCTTTTGAGACGTGCATCGCGTACCTCCAGATATCATCCCAGGGGGAGCCATCACGACATGCACCCTCGCTTCCGCGCCCTTCCTCGCTTCCTCTTACAGTTGCTTCCAAGTTCACAGCATGGCGATGGAGCCTCTCACAGTGCCGACCCCACAGCTTACTCGTCGACCAGGTGCGAGAGAATACGACACCATCTAGCGTTAGCCGCCTGATTGGCCTGCGTCACACAAGGTTGCGTGTAAACATCTCATGTACAAACATCATGTTATCATGTTCTAACATTCCATGCCAGCCCGCACTGGACGGGTACGCAATCGACCTTCGAAACCGCAGTGGGTTTACAAATCCTTTTTGGGGATACTGCACTCCGAGTATAATCCATATCCACCGCCTGGAGGGTCAGTCTTCGGAGCCTCGGCAGGCGGTGGATATGGACATCTTCGGACTCCCGGGGGCCGATCCATATATTTTCTCTCTATATATATGTATATATTAGCCCAGTGTTGCGCGAGACGTATCACGTCATATTATATTTAAAGTGCCGCTCAACCACCCTCGTGGTAGAGCTCCCTCCGGGCAGCCGCTCCAGGTGAGAGGCTTCACGTGCGTCAGCGATGCACTACACGCATTACCGCTAGGGAAAACGACGTGAGCCGAGTCCAGCGGAGCGCCCTCGGGAGGCACGCAGTGCCAACCCGGGCGCAGCGTGTCAGACCGAATCCAGCCGTAGCGAGCGTCGTTACGGCACGGCGTGGGCAGCTAGCTAGATCCAGCCGTGGCGGGCGCCGTGCCAGTGGGCACAGCAGGAAGGAATAAAAAGGGAAAACGCCGTAACGGCGCGCCCGGGCCGCTGCAGATAGTGGTATCCAGGGCGCCTGGCGGCCAGACGGACAGGGCAGGGCGTCGGGAGGCGACCTACGCTGTCACTGCGAGTCGAAGGTGGGGGCCGACGCCTGCGCAGTAGAGGGGTCACACACGCCAACTATGAAGAGGGCTCCGTCGTTCGGCAAGTGCGGGAGTATCTCAGAGAGCGGTTTGTCAGCTTCGACGGCCGAGAGGCCTTCTTCGCTGAGGATCTGAAGAGCAAAATTGTGGGCGCGGACCATGTGGACCTTTCTTGCGGTCTGGTGGGCAACCCGGAAGAGGTACGGCGGGCGGTGAATCGACTTTGCAGTCACCGCGAAAGGCTCGAGGTCGACCGAGGGGCTGCTGGTCTCGAGCTTGATGAAGACGGGGATGGGCACGGAGCCTGTGTCTTCGAGCTCCGCGCGCATGTCCTCGACAGTGCCGAACGTGACGTCGTCCTCCATGTCGTCGTTGGATTCCACGGTCAGGGCGCCGAGCGCGGGAAACGAGGGAACTGCGGGCAGAGACACGTCCTCGATGCCTGGCTTCACTCGCGGGGGCGCCATGGCACCCTCGGTTTCTTCGTGGGCACCCTGGGCTGTGTCTTCGGCCGCTTCTGAGCCTCGGTCGTCTTGCGCACCCAGGGCTCGTAGACGAACTGCACCGGCGATCGAGGGCGCTTCGATGCCGGAATTTGTCTCGGGCTCGGGGGCACTGCGCCAGCCTTCGCCCGTTGCTTCCGCTCCTGCCGATGGCGCCGCCGCTGCCGGGTCACCAATGCTGAGAGGGGAGAGTCCTCCCGTCCGGGGACGTGCGGCTGGGGCGAAGGGCTCGGCTCGGTCGGCGGCCCAGGCGCGGGCGACGCTGGGGAGGGGCGGGTGGCTCCCTCCGTGCGGCCACGCCGGGTCTGAGCAGGAGCGTTCTTTGTAGTCAGGGCCACTGTTCCGGTGTTGATGGTGAGTGGTGGCTCCTGGCTGGGGGCTCCCTGGAGGAACCGCTCGAGAACGCTGGTGGGAGCACGAGCCGCTATGTGTAGCAGCATCTGGTTGACTTCGTTCTTGGACATCGTGGACGTGCGCCGCTCCAGCTCCCGTATCTGCTCTCGCGGCTCCTTCACCGGAGGGGGGCGCGAGTGGCGCTCCGCTCGATGGGAGTCCGCTGGCTCCGTCCGCGAAGGGGGGCGCGAGGGGCGCACCGCTCCGGGGGAGGGCTCGGGAGACGCCTGCATCGGAGGGGAGCGCGAGTGGCGCTCCGCTCGATGGGAGAGGCCGGCTGGCTCCGCCTGCGGAGGGGGACGCGAGGTGCGCCCCGCTCGGGGGGAGGGTTTGGGCGGCGCCTGCACCAGAGGGGGGCGCGAGTGGCGCTCCGCTCGATGGGAAGGGCCTGTCTGCTCCGCCTGTGGAGGGTGGCGCGAGGAGCGTACCGCTCTGAGTGAGGGCTCGCGCACCGCCTTCCTCGGAGGGGAGCGCGAGTGGCGCTCCGTCCGATGGGAGAGGCTTGTCTGCGGCAGGGCAGCAGCATTCGGTGCCACTGCCTTCGGCGGTGCCCAGATCCCGGGAGGGTATGTCGGGGACGACGCCCTGTACTTGCGCGACTCCGCCCTCAGGCGGGGACGCGAGGTGCGCCCCGCCCTGGGGGAGGGCGCGGCTGGCTGAACGTTCTGAGGGGGGCGCGAGGGGCGCTCCGCTCGTGGGGGAGACTCCGACGTCGAGGTCGACGTGTGGGACTCCGAGTCCGACGGCTCCGACTGGGGAGGGGCCAAGCCAGACATGGAAGCCCTCGGGGACGAAGACTGTAACCCATCTGCCGGGCACGACGCCCGGGGGGTCACCAGTGCCGTGGCCATTGAACATAGACCACGGCAGTGGGGCACTCCGCGACGCCGACCTGCGAGGGGCACGCTGCGTAGCACTGCAAGGGCAGCGCCAGCCTCAGCAACCGCACATGCCGGCCGACGGGCCGCCGGCGGGCTGCCGCGCGCGCGGGGAGGGGCCCGGGACGCGCGCGGGTGCGAGCCGTGAGCTTGAGCCAAAATGGATACGGATACACATATATTTATATATATGTATATATGTATATGTATATATATACATATCTCTCTCTCTCTATATATATATATATATATATATCCGCCGCCCGTTGGGGTACCAGGACGTCGGTTCCCAGGCGGTGGATCTGGATGAATTCCCGCCTCGCACTCGACGGTCCCCGGGACTACCGGAAATTGATCCAGAACGAAGAGTCGGACGGGGTTAAGACGAGGATAAGCGCATGGGGGAGCTCTCCAGAACGCCCTCAGAGCGTTCCAGAAGGCCGCGGCGCCCTAGACATTCTCCAGAGTCTGGGCCCCGTACATGGGGTCGGAGTAGATGTGGTTATCGCCGATGCATCGCCGATGCGGCTCGATATGAAGCCCGATTTGCTGCACGTCGACGTCGGCGATGCATCGCTGGTGCATCACCGGGGATGCGACGCGATCCGCCGATCCCATTTATTCAGACCCATCCACGACGCCTCTACAGAGCCGCCAGATGTCAGAGTTTGGGGAAGGCCCTGGGGTTAGGTCGGGCATGTCCTCCTACAGGCGGACTTTCGAGGACAAATCAAGAATCACTAAACAAGCCTGTAAAACAACAGACAGAAATAGCAGCAACAGCATCCCATATGATTCTTTTTGACTATTTTCTGGAAATACCTCCTCAGTTTAGACTATTTTTGAAATTCCTTAGAGGGACATGCTTGACTTAGCCCTGGGGACCAGGACCCGCCACCACCGTGCTCAGATGGAGACCTGGCAGGCACGGAGGGCCAGTCCACCGGCCGCTCCGCGGAATGCCTGCACGTGCTCGACTCGCCCTGGGGCGCCCGAGGGGGCGGAGCGGGCGCAGAGGGCCAGTCTTAGATCGGGCATGTCCTTGTACGGGAGGATCATGTAAAACATTCACTGAATTAGTCAAGGGGCGATTTCTTTATCATGGTTATTTCTGAATATTCGTGGGCTATTTTCGATTTTTCTTCCAAAATCCGCCAGAATCCGCCTGTAGGGGGACACGCCCGACTGAACGCCAGTCGCAACACCGGCTGCCAGCGCGGGGCAAGCTTCACTTTTCCTCGGGAACCTGCGCCGCGCCGGGGGCAGCGAGGGTGAATTCGCGACCTTAGCTGCGAGACGAACCTCGCAGCTATCGCACGTACCCGACTGGGTCGGCGCCGTGCTGGGGCGCCGGCGGCCGCGCCTTTTTGCCTTGTGCGCGAGTCAAAAAGCAGACGGCTAGTCGGCCGAAGCGGGGCGCGGAGGTGCTCGGAGGCGGCGGCCACGCCCGCAGCAGGCGCGAGCCGCGCTCTGGCAGCGGACTGCTGGTCAGTGGTCAGGGCGTGGCCCGCCTGCGCGGGACATCGGCTGCCCGCCAACCCGGAGATGCTCGCGTCGTGAAGACATCACGACGGGAGGTGTTTGAAAACGGCCTCCGGGGGCCGTCGCCGGCCCTGGGTTCGCCAAAAAACAATCCGGAATGAAAGGCCGGCCCTGGTGAGGCCGGGACACTTGGGGACCCCGTGTTGAAACAATCAGGACATCGCGTGTCTGGGGCCCCCCACAGCGCAGCCCGCCTCATGCTGGGGGCCATTGTGAATTGAAATTACGCAAAGCAGGTCATGCAAGCAGGAGCCCTGCCGGCGGGATTCGCATACCTGGCGCGGCGGTCGCCCACCTCGCTTCTTAGAAGTGCAGGGGGCCCGCCCTTCCAAACTTCAATTGGATGTCAGGGGCTTTTCCTCTCCTGAACATTCGGAACGCTGTCAGGAGAAAGCGGGGGGAAGAGCACCTCGAAGACAGCTTTGTGGCCCTGCCCAAAGTGAATCCACCGCGAGCGGTACAATGCAAAATTGGCGCCTGGGGGCTACGCCTTTTCAATCTACTTCCGCTTCGTCCACCTCCCCATCATCACTTCCTTCTCCGCACCTCCCCCTCCCCATCTCCAGTTCCTGCCTTTCTGTATTATGATCGCTGCCGCGCTTGACCGGAACCGTGTTGTTCTATAGCGCTTGGCGCCCGCGGGTTGTATGTCGAGGAACTGCGCCCGTTCGACCCGTCCCACCGACGCGCCCAGCGCAACGTTTGCCTGGCAATTCGGATGTGTTCGGAGGTGGCAGGAAACGAGGGGGGACGATGGGTAACATAGCATTGGGGAGTGGTACGTGTGCACGGAGGAAGGATAATCGTTTGCATTATTTTGCCAGTCGTTTTGTTCGGGTTCATTGGGTTACTCTTCCTGTCCTTTTTCCCTTCACCCAGTTTTGATCTACATGCACCATTTGCGCCTCACATATCTGTATATGTGTTTGTGATTGTCTCTCTCTCTCTCTCTCTCTCTCATCGCCTGTCTCTATGGTCACTTGTATCTTATTGTATGTATATATATATGTATATGTTTATCTTTCTCTCTCTTTTGTTGTTTCGTTTTCTCTCACTTTCTCTCTCTCTCTCTCTCTTCTTCTGATTATTATGCTTCTTCTTTTTCTTACACTATATATGTCTCTCCCTCTCTCTCTCTCTTTCTTGTGCTTCTCCTTTCGTCCACATGTGGTTGTACTATGTAATTCCTGCATGCATGTGTATATCCATCGAAGGTCGTGTAATATATGTCTCGTCGTAGTTGTGTGCATTTACGTGTTGGACACATGCTTGCTCACTAAAGCTGCCCTCATGGAGGCCATTGGGGATGTAGGAATCACGCTTAAAACCCAGGCTTGCGGAGACGTCGGCCCCTCGGATTATGAGTAACATGGTCGACATTCGTGCGCACGCCAAAGTGTATAGGTAGACATGTAGTTACATATGACACCCGTTTGCGGTGTGTATACATGCTGTTCGAGCCTTGCGCACGTACGGATATAAGCAGCCACAAACGTGTGCGTTATGCCCTCTCTCTCTGTTTCGCTCTCTCTCTCTCTCTCTTTCTCTCCCCCCCCTTTTCCTTCCCCCTCTCCTTTTCAACACCTATACCTATATATATATATATATACACATACATACATACATATACATATATACATGTATATGTTTATATGATTGGTTTCTTCCTCTCTCTCTCTCCCCTCTCTATGGTTGCCGCGACCGCGGCAGGTTGTGGAGGCCATCGACACCATGGTGGGGAACCTCCGTGATGAGCAGGCATCCGACGACGAGAAGAAGGACGCGCGACATCGCCTCCCACCCACCGAGAGCAGGAGGACGATGTGGAGAACCAGCAACAGCAGGAGCAGCAGGAACCACCCGAGCAGGAGGAACCACCCAGCAGGAGCGCGCGTCTTATTGTTGTCAATGTTCTCATCGTTGTTCATGCTGCACGCTGTCTTTGGGTAGCACGTGCCACACGCATATAGCATCAGGGGTGGCTTCGTGAAGCTCTGTCCGCCACTTGTTGCTCGCGAGCGACGCCGTCAGATAAAGTCGCAAGAGTAGCGCAAGCCCTGCTGTCGCAAGTGTGACGCGGAAAAGGGCCACAAAGGGTGACGAAAGCTACAATGCGGAGACAGAGGCAGGCGAAGCGAAGAGGCGGCCGAGGACGAGAAGAGCAACGAGCAGAGAAAGCTCTGCCCGCCACGCGAAGCGAAACAAAACGAGCTGCACCCACACGCGAGCCGTGCTGCTTCGCCCTGCGTGCTCCAAGTGCCTATCCTTAAGTCGGGCCTGTCCCTCTACAGGGGGCATATTCAAAAGTAGTCAAAAAAATAGCCTGGGGATTATATTTGGGGTATCGTTTGGCCATTTCTGAGTATGCTTGGGTTTTTTTGTTTCTCGTCGAAACTCCCCCTGTATGGGGGACACGCCCGACTTACAACGAGACGAGCTGCACACACGTGCGGGCCGGCTTCGCCCCTGCGTGCTCCAAGGGATTTTTGTTTGGTATTGTTTGGCCATTGTGGAGTATGTGTTGGGTATGTTTTGTTTTACGTCGAAGCTCCCCCTGTAGGGGGACACGCCCGACTTGAAACGAGACGAGCTGCACCCACGTGCGGGCCGTGCTGCTTCGCCCGCGCGTGCTCCAAGTGCCCAAGGCCTCGCGGGGCGGCCGAGGACGAGAAGAGCAACGAGCAGAGAAAGCTCTGCCCGCCACGCGAAGCGAAACGAAACGACCTGCACACACGCAGGCAGGCCGTGCTGCTTCGCCCTGCGTGCTCCAGGGGCCCAAGGCCTCGCGGGGCGGCCCCCCTGCCCCGCCTTCAGCGGGCCGCCGGCGCGCCGTGCCCAGCATGGGGCCGTGGTGGGCGGGCGCCGGCCGCTGCGCTGCGCCTGCTGGCGGACGTCTCAGGCTCGGCATCGCTCGGACGTGTGCATTTTTCCTTCGGCGAGGACCATCGAGGAGCATCCTTGATCATTTGGCGAAAAAACCACGCACGAAACCGAAAAAAACATACAAAAAATGGACGTCCGAGCGATGGCGAGATAGTTCCTTCCAGTTACGTCCAGCCGACATCAGGAAAGCGCTGCACCCACGTGCGGGCAGTGCTGCTTCGCCCCGCGTGCTCCAGGTGCCCATGCCTCGCGGGGCGGCCCCCCTGCCCCGCCGCAGCGGGCCGCCGGCGCGCCCTGCCCGGCAGGGGCCGTGGTGGGCGGGCGCCGGCCGCTGCGCTTGCCGGCGGAAGTCTTGTCAAGCAGTGGCGAAGCGTCCTGGCTCGCCTATAGCCCTACCGAGCAATGTTCTGAGAACCGTTGGTGTGTTTTCCCCGAAATGCTCTCAGAACACTTCTGGCTGGGGCTGTCTTGTTTCAACACATCGGGCTCATGTTCTAAGAGCATTGTTTCGTTCTTAGAACATGTTTGGGTTCTAAGAACATTTCGTGGTAGGAATGTAGGAATGCCGGGACGGTCGGTCCCTGCTCAATCTTAGGGTTGTAGCTGCAATCTTTCCTTCCAGTTACCTCCAGCCGACATCAGGAAATAAAGTGTTGGAAGACATTCCAGATGTCCTCGAGATTCGCAGCAATCTGGCAATCCGTATGGGAATAGGGTTCCTCTGCAAGTAGAGTGGGGCAGGAAGCAGGCGGCTGGAGCCGAAGACGAGCAGTCTGCATGAAGATAGCTTGTCGGAGTTCCGCGATGGCTTCTTGGTTCGGCACTTGGGCGCCCCTGGCGGCGCCTCCAGCGCCACCCTTGGTATGCTCCGTGCGCTTGGGATGGGAGCCCAGCGCCGATGCGAGGCATTCGCGCAAACTTCCGAAAGTTTCGGTTTGCGCCGCTTCCCCCTCGTCTAGAGACGTTTCCCCGTCTTCATGAAGCCAGGAAAGCGGCAGGCTGCTCCCACTGGGGAGCCCACGGTTGGTGCGTCTCCATGTTTTAAAAGAGAACGGAGTGGTATCGAAAAGGACATTTCAGCTGGAGGGCTTTCACTGGCTGCATCAAGCTCGCGTAGCTGACGAGACCATGAGGCGTGGCAAATGGCCGCGCGATAGGCACAGGATTTTGACGCGCTTGTCACTCTCCCCGCCCACAGGGGCAACTCGGAACTCTGCAAGTGCACAGTTCACCACTGCGCCGCACTGCGGCACAAGGCAGGCGTCTGTTGGATCCGCTCATCCTCTAAGCGATTCGTGATTGTTGGATGTTCTCGTGAATCCTGGGGGAGGCTACCCTCGAATGCTCTTCATTTTGGCCGGCGGAGGGTCTCACGTTCTTGAAGGATCGGGGGTTGCTAAAGGTGCCCCTGGCCCAAGGTGCCCCCCGCTTGTCGCCCAATGTTGGAGCCCCTGGGTCCCCCTGGGCCTCGTGAGGGGTGCTCTGGAGGCCGTGGGGGCCTCCTTGGAAATCCTGGGGGCACCTTGGGCCAGGGGCACTTCTAGCACCACCCGAAAGGCTGTTCTTCTGGCCCAGGTTCAGGCCCCTTGGTCCTGCGTGACTCTTAGCGTCGGCGGCCAGGCAGGGGACGTCTGCGCTGGCGATGGGATGCCTAAACGGGGATGCCTTCAAAGCGAATTGTGCCACCATGCAAGAGGAGGAGGGGGAGGAAGGCGCGGCCGAGAAAGGGGCGGATGGAGCGGTGGTCCTGCGTGACACGTGGACCACCGGTCGTGCGGCTGGCGGCGGAGACCGCGGCATCGGCATCTCTCGCCCGCCGCTGGAGCTCATGCTCCTCCTCCAGCCAGCGCATGCTTGCCTACCTGGTGACGCGCACTTCCTCCTCCTCCTCCTCCTCCTCCTCCTCCTCCTCCTCCTCCTCCTCTTTCTCCTCCTCCTCCTCTTTCTCCTCCTCCTCCTCCTCCTCCTCCTCCTCCTCCTCCTCCTCCTCCTCCTCCTCCTCCTCTCTCTCCTCCTCCACCTCCTCCTCCTCTTCCTCCTCCTCCATTTAATGATTTCTCCCTCCCGCACACCGAGGCCAGTTTTTAGGGCGGCGGGGCGCTTCGCCTGAGATCTCCTCGCAACAGCTTCACAGATGCAGGGCGGGTCGTTTTCAAAATGTGGCTCCCGCCTCGCCGCGCACATGCGTTTTAAACACGTGCAAGAGTTTCACGGATTGAGGGCCACCCGTTTTCAAAGTGTGTTTCTCGCCTCGGCGCCGTGCGCATGCGTTTGAAACATGTGCAAGAGGTTCACGAATTGAGGGCGACCCGTTTTCTAGATGTGGTTCTCGCATTAGTGCCGCGCACATGTGTTCTAAACATTTGCAAGAGTTTCGCGGAGTGAGGGCCACCTGCTTCCACGATGTAAAAAGGAAAGATGGAAGAGCTTCACGGATTGAAGGTGGCTCTCTTTCTAAATGTGGTTCTCGCTTGCGCACCGTGCACATTCGTTTTATACGGTTGCAAGAATTTCACGGATTCCCATGGTCAACGTACCAACAATTGTCTTCTGGAAGGGTTTAGGGACTTTGAAGGTGCAACAGTTACGTTGATTCGCAGTGTTGAAGTCACAGGAATGGCGTCCTTGCACGATTTCAGGACCGTCAAGACGCAACAGTCAGGTTCATCTGTGGCGTTGGAATCCTGAGAACAATGTTTTGGCATTCTTCTGGGTCTTAAAACGGCTGTCTTCAACGAGGCAGTTCCCTCAGTGGAAATGAACCCTTGTGAGGGCCTATGAAGAGGCAGCTTGGAGGGAGGGTTTATTCCAGCATCGCTGATGACTCTTGGGCTTACACTGGTCCTCCTCCTCCTCCTCCTCCACCTCGTCCTCCGCCTCCGCCTCCGCTTCCGCACCTCCGTCCTCTCGGCATGCTCTGATTGGGACTGATCAGCTCTCTTCGTGCTGACGCGGCGTGTGCGCGCGGAGCAGGGAGGCGCCAGAGTGCAGGAACTCACCTGTTTTACCATCCATGCAAAGCCCAGTGGCAGAGGTAGAAAACACAATGGGGATATTTATATTTCATTAAAGAGGTAATATATATATATAGAGAGAGAGAGAGAGTCAGAGAGAGAGAGAGAGAGAAAAAGAGTGAGAGATAGAGAGAGAGAGAGAGAGAGAAAGAGAGAAAGAGAGAGAGAGAGAGCGCTGCGAAAAAAAGGGAGGGACATGATAACACAAGCGATAGAGATAGAGAGAACAACAACAGTTACACCCATGCGTATTTTATATTTATATGCTTATGTATATAAGACATATATATATATAGAGAGAGAGGGAGAAGCAACCGCAAGGATAGTAGCGCTCAACGCGCCTGGGGGCTGCACCCGCGAATGGACAGGTCGTTTCCGCAGCCTTGGCGAGATGGGGGACATGCTCGGAAACGGCTGTTCATAAGTGCATTCTTGACCCAAGAGGTTTCGATATGGCTCTTCGGTTCGCCGCCGACGGGCTGCCGCGTGGTAAGCGACGGGACTCCTCCCTTGCATCGGGGGGGTCGCCTGCCTCCGCTCGGAGTCGGCAGCGGTTGGCCGCCGCTTGCTGGCTGCCTCTCTCCACCGCGCTCCCCTTTCCCTGATCCCCTTCCGTCGCTTCTCGCGCCTCGCCTTCCCACCTTTCCCCCCCCGAGGAAGTTACAGAACGGCCTGCCACCACGGGCCTCCAATCTTACGGAGACTCTGACCCACGAAGATCACATGCCGCCGGTCATGATTTGCACCCCCCCCTCTTGGACGCCCCCCTCTTTGCCGCCCCCGAAGACCCAAGAGGAGGGTCTTGAGTCTTGACATGAACCTTTCCACAGCGCCCGAGGCCGGATCGAGCCACCGGAGCCCCTGCCTCCTGCCGCGGCCTCCCGCCGCGAGGAGAGCTGTGAGGCCAACCGCATGGAGGACACCCGCTCTGCGGTGCTGGCCGGGCGGGCGATCGACGAGGCGCGGCCACGAGCTGCCAGCTGGCGGGACGGAGGGCTGGGAGGGGAGAGGAATGGTGGGCACCTTTTGCACCACATCTGCCATGTGCAGGACGGGGGAGAAGGGAGGATGAGGAGGTCCTCCTCCTCCTCCTCCTCGTGCTCCTCCTCCTCCTCCTCCTCCCCCTCTCCTACCAATGGTAGTGGTGGAAAATGGGCCCGTCAAGGAGTCGCGCGAGAGGGGAGGAGACCCAGACATGCTCGCGTCGCGAAGCAATCACGACGGGAGGCTTCCGTCCGTTTTGGGGCTCCGGGGCGGCCTCGCCGGGCCCGAGGGGACCGTCAAGAGACGGCTCGGGACGAGGAGCCAGTCCCGGGGAAAGGGCAGGGGCTTCCCGGGCCCCCGCAGTGAAGAAAAGTCGAGACGTCGCATCTCGTGGGTGACCCCAAAAGCGGGTCCAGCTGAAAGGGGCTGGCGCAATGGAGTTTGGGCAATTGTACTGCACGTGTATTGCGCCGGCGCGCGAAATTCAAGCAGTGTATTTGCGCACCGGAATGTGTTGCACGCCCCACATGAATATATTGCAGCCCCACGAATCTATTGCACCAGATCTATGGCACCACCCCTTTTTCGCTGGACCTCATTGTGGGCCAACCAGAATCTCTGGGGGGGGATGGGGGAACGGGAGAGAAGGAGGGGGGAGGGGAAGCAGGTCGTATCACTCGCTCTTGTGTTGAGTCGGGCATGTCCCTCTACAGGGGGAATATTTGAAAAAGTCAAACAAACATGGTCAGGGGGCGTTATTGTTAATAAAACAAACTATGTTTTAATATATTCTGACTTTTTCATTCTTCGTCCAAAATCTGCCTGTAGGGGGACTTGCCCGACCTAGATCCTGTGCCACGAGATCCGCGCGAGGAGGGCCCAAACAGGGCGAGCTCTCTCGCAGCAAGAGGCAGCGGCCCTGGTCCCAGCAGTCCGCGTCTATCTGCGACGCTGGTAGCGCGGCGGCGGCGGCGCAGGGAGGGACTGAGGCGCCTCGGCCACGTGCGAGGGAGGTGAGGCAGGGATGGGAGAAGAGAGGAGTAAGGCAGGGGGGGGGAAGGACGGGGGGAGGGGAGGCAGGGGGGGTAGAGGGGAGGAGAGGCGAGGAAGGCGGGGGAGGGGAAGGCAGGGACAGGGAGCAGGAGCCATGGGGGCATGGGAGGAACTTGGCGTCGCTCGGACGTGTGCTTTTTTTCTCGGCGAGGTTCATCGAGGAGCATCCTTGACCATTTGGCGAGAAAACCACGCACGACACCGAACAAAAACACAGGGAATGGACGTCCGAGCGATGGCCACTGGGAAGAAGGCAGGGGGGCGAGGCAGAAGATGGGCAGGGGAGGCAGGGATGTGAGGAGGGCAGAGGGGCGTCGGGGGAGGCTGGCAGGCTCCCTCCCTGGGCCGATCCCTCCTTCCCCGAGTCCTGGCCGGTCGTGTGGGCCCGATCTGTGGGTGTCGGGGCCGCGTTGCCGTCCTGCTTCGGGTGATTGATTATGTGTCGTTTTCTCCACGGGTCCAGCATGGTGCGGCGTACAGTCGGGGCCCTGAAGAAGGAACCCTTTTCGTTGGGGAGGGGCTCGGTGTTCCTTGATTGTTTCGCAGCTTGCCCTGGATTTTCCTTAGGTTTTCGATGCGAAATCGAAGTTCAACTTATGGAGAATAGGGGCCTCGTTCCTTACTTAGGGTTCCTTAGGTCAACGCCTCGACTGTACGCGGCAGCTGGAGAAGAGGTAGCATGGGGGCCAGCCCTTCCGCTCGTTCCGGCCCCGGCCAGCGTTCCTCCAGTGTTGCATCCCTGGGCTATCTCGTCCCAACTGTGTCGGGCTCGATTCAGCCCCTGCCAGTTTTTCCCGACCTGGCCACTTCCACTTTCTGGAATTTTCAGCCTCCACCGCTTCCTGCATGCCTATATGAAGACAACGTGACACACAGTGGACAGGGGAGGCGAAAGGGCAAGGGAAACGGTTATGAAGAGCTCTGGCCTGAAGAGATTAGGATCGTAGCGATCAGTTCCAGCAAAGTTGCGAAGTCGAGCGGTAAAGGAGGCTTTGGGAACCTCACGAATGGCATCGTGTTGTGGACCATTCGGAAACAGATCCAGCTGCCCTGCAAGTCCCGCCACCGTGCCAGCCCAGCTTTCTCGGTGGTCTGTCCGCGAGGGGGCACCGAGGTCCTCACGAGCGCCACCGTATGTCTCCTGTCCTCGGAGAGCCGCAGTTAACACGTGGCGCGCTTTTCGTATGGCCGTCTTGGGGTTTGTGGAAGCAAGGTGCTTCACGACGGCACGCCAGGCTGTTTGGGGGTTTTGGTGCGTGTTCGAAGGATTTGAGACCGTCCGGGGCACCGGTGATGACCATGAGGATGTGGATGAAGATAAGGAGGACGAAGATGATGATGGTGATGCTGATGCTGCTGATGATGATGATGATGATGATGGTGATGATGGCGATCATGCTGGTGGTGATGGTGATGGTGATGGTGATGATGGTGATGATGATTGTGATGGTGATGGTGATGGTCACGATGATGAGAGTGATGATTATGCTGAGAGTGATGATGATGGTGATGATGATGAGGATGATGAGGATGATACTCATGACGATGTTGATGACGGTGGTTTTGATGATGAGGATTGTAGCGAGGCTGTGATGTGAATGATGGTCATGATGACGGGGATGGCGATAGTGGTGATGATGGTTATGCTGTTGCTGCTGATGGTGGTGCTGGTGGTGGTTGTGATGTTGGTGATTGTGGTTATGATGATGATGGTGGTGGTGATTGCGATGATGATGAGGGCGATGATGATGATTGTGATGATGATGATGATGATGATGATGACGGTGATGATGATGATGATGATGATGATGATGATGATGATGCCGCCGATGTTGATGCTGATGCTGGCGATGCTGATGATGATGATGATGATGATGATGATGTTGATGATGTTGGTGCTGATGGCGATGATGATGATGATGCTGGTGATAACCATGACGATGAGTCTGATTATGATGATGGTGATGCCGATGATGAGGATGATACTGATGTTGTTTATGATGATGGTGGTGGCGATGATGATAGTGGTGATGATATAGGAGGAGGAAGAAGAAGAGGATGATGAGGATGAAGAGCAGGAGGGAGAGGAGGAGGAGGAGGAGGAGGAGGAGGAGGAGGAGGAGGAGGAGGAGGAGGAGGAGGAGGAGGAGGAACGCCGTCACACGCGGGAACACCAAACACAACCTTAGGATAATCATCGAGTTGTACCTCTCGAGGCCCTCTTGGAAAGTCTTTTGGGGCTTTCTCGGAACGTCTCGAATGCCTTTTGGGCCGTTTTGAGGCCAGATTGGACCGTCTTGAGGCCCAAGTGGGCCTGCCTTGGAGCCATATTGGGTCGTCTCCTGGAGGCATGTTGGCCTCGGGAGCGCAAAACGGTCGTATCGTGGGAAGGAATGTGGCCTCGAGAGAGGGGGGCGATACATGGAGGCGCAGTGCGACGACAGGTGGGAGCCAAGAAGATTTCAGAAGTCCTAGCAGATAGCACTTGGCATTCTAGCGCGACTCAACTTGCCAGGGTTTACGGTGGCGAATCGGAATCCGAATCCGCATTGTTTGTGTCAAGTGCTGAGGTGCGGTCACTGGGGCGAGAGGGTCAAGTTTGGAAAGGGCATAGTACGACGCAAGTTGTACAAGCGCAAAGCAGAAAAGCCGACGACAGCGATGAACCAGCTAGGCTTGTTTGACAGTGGAGCATGGACGAACACACAGCGTGAGCATGGAAGCACGGCATCGAATCATGGGTTTTTTTCTTTTGACAGGCAGCGGGGAGACTTCTCAGTCAGTCGAACTGTGGAGTCCATACAGGGAGCGATTGCCATGCAAGCAGTGGTTAGCCGGAGAGGCTAGCGACACCATCAGCCAGCTCACATCCGACGTGGGGGAGCTGGACAGTCAGCTCACGCAGAAGGCTGCTGTCCCTCTCCTCTCTCAGAGTGCGACGCTCGGACATGGCGACTCGCCTCTCTTCCAAGGGCTCCCACGAGGGCGCGAAGTTATTCGCGCTTCGCGCTTCACGGTCCTCGTTCCTTCTCCCCCTACTCCTCGTCCTCCTTTCCTCCCTTTGGGGGGCGGCGCGAGAGCGCGAAGTTGTTCGCGCTTCGCACTTCGAGGAGCGCGAAGAGCGAAGCTAGGAGCCCTTGCTCTTCCACCGTCTCGAAGTGGTCGTTCGTGCTGGTACTGCGCAGACGACGGCCGCCGACGTGGCCCAGGCAGGCGAGCCGAACACCACCGGCCGCGCCTCCGGGCGGGCGGGCCCCGCCCGTCGTGGGCAGACGTTGCGTGCTGTGGCTCGGGCCGCCGCCCGCCGCGCTGCAGAAACCGCAGGTCACGGCCCGCGTGTACAGCCAGCCCCTCCCCCTCCCTCCTCCTCTCCTCCTCCTCCTCCTCCTCCTCCCCCCTCCTCCTCCTCCCCCTCCTCCTCCTCCTCCTCCTCTCCTCCTCCTCCTCCTCCTCCTCCTCCCCCCCCCCCCGCCTCGCAGGCGTGCGGGGTCCAGCAGCGGCGCCGTCCACGGGCGGAGAAGAGCATCGGGAGGGGCCCCAGCAGACCGTCGGCCTGGTCCTGCGGCAGAGGGAGACCGAAGGATTGCAAAAAAACCGAAGGATTGCAAAACAAAACGGAGGTTTTTTTTGCAATCCTTCGTTTTTTTTGCAATCCTTCGTTTTTTTGCAATCCTTCGTTTTTTTGCAATCCTGGGTTTTTTTTTGCAATCCTTCGTTGAATCCGGCGGTGTATACGCCCTCCTGGCTTGGCCAGGGAGGCATATACACCGCTCCTGGGCCCAGGATGGGCCTGGCCAGGAGCAGTGGATATGCATAGAGATCCTCGCCCTAAGAGGGAGAATGAATTGGCGGATCGGGGCTCAGGAGGCGGGGGTGGATGCAAACGGGGGTCAGCCAGAGCGCCGTGACTTGCAGGATCCTGCAGGACCCGGGTCGCACTGACCCAGGTCTGGGCGCAGGATCCTGCAGGATGTTGCAGGTTTTTTTTGCATGGACCCGGGTTTGGGTGCAGGATCTTGCAGGATCTAGCAGGATTTCGCAAGGCCTGACTGACCTGGGTCTGGATTGACCCGGGTCAGAAGATCCCCGAGTGGACACCCCCTCGCCCCCCAAGCTCAACGCTGACACCCCCGGGGAAGACTGCGGTCGGAGTGCGGCTCATTCAACCCACCGCCAACACTGACCCTTGGGTGGGGAATTGATGGCTGAATGCGTCATGAGTGTTCGCTAATTTCTGCCGAGGCCTGCATCACGTGCTGGGAGCATCACGTGGGGCTCATATGCTGCCCCCCCCTCCAGAGCAAATATAGCAAGCGGCTGTTGAATTGGACGCCGTGGTTCCAGACAGAAGCCAAAATATGTATATGGCGACCTCGTCTGAAATAGCTGGATTCGTTGGATGCGTGAGCGTCCCTCTATGCACGCGTCCCACCTGGTGCATGTTTTCCTGCTTGCAATGTGCACGTCTGCCCCTTTGAGGACCGCCCCGGCTACTGAAGCTGGAACGCAGACTCCTTGTCCGTGTCCTTGTCCCCCAAGGACAGTGTAGACCTGGGTTCAGAATGTTCCAGGATTGCATGGGTTTCTATGTGATGCCCCCCCCCCCCGAAATTTAGAAAATTGGGTCTCTTATGTTCTGGGATGGGAGTATCATTCCCTGGACATCACTCACCCATTTTCATAACCTCTGATGTTCTGTATGTGGGAAGGGTTTTTGAGCTTCATAGTGTGCCCCCAGGAACATGATGAACCCTGGTGGTCATTTCACCCCTTCTTCCCCCGGCTCTAGGCTTTGGTTCATTATGTCTGGGCATTGACCCTGGACCACGGTCTCTGGAACACTGAAGAAGAGGCCGAGTATCCCAAAGTGAAAATGATGGTGCCCAAGGGATGCCGGTTGAGATCAGAGTCTGGAATGTGTTACCATTTTGGCTCAGTATGTGGGATAGTTGACTTTGCACTCGTTAGATTGGAATGATAGCAGTGCGGCCTTGGGGAAGAGACCAAACCATGTACATGACGTTTTCCCATTGGGGATCATCATCGAATGATAACGAGCCTAGGTTTATCATTCCAATATGATTGGGACACAGACGTATCTGTATCCGCAGCCTCGCGGGCTGGGCCCCTGGGCCGCGACTCCGCGGAAAGTGCCGGTTTGTCGCGGATGCCCCTCGCGGAACGTATACGTGCGACCGCGTATCCGCGGGATCGCGCCGCGGAGTCCAGACCGCGAGGGCGTGGATGCGGATGCGTCGGGGGTGGACAGAACCCCCAACAGTGACACGTCGATTAGTGAATTGTCCGTTTTCGGTTCTTGAGAGGGCGCCGTGGCCGCTATTTCCCGGGCTTGCGCCCGCCAGGTTTGGGCCTCAGGTCGTTTTCGCTAGACCTCGTTCTACGAAAAGGGGGGTCTGTCCATCCCCGAAGGTGTTCGCCGCCCGTGGGCCGCCTGCCCGGAGCGCCGTCCGCCCGGAGCGCCGTCGCCCGCCCTGTGCCCCGCGAGGAGGAGCAGGGCGAAGCCATCGTGGAGCAGCTGGCGGCGGCGGAGGCCCGGCGCCCCCCCCCCCGTGCAGGTCCCCTTCGGCTCAGGCCCGAGGGGGTGTCTCTGCCGACGCAGCGCTGCACTCGGCACGGGGGCCCGGATCTCCGACGTTCTGTTTTCACTCCCGGCGTGCTTCCTCGATCTCACCGCCTGATCCCGAGGCTTTGCCTCCTCCTGGCCTTGCCGTGAGGCCGCTCTCCTTCTGTCCCCCCCTCGTTGTTAATTCAAGCTTCGCGCGGCCCGCTTAGCTTCGACCGGAAGAGGTGCGTTCTCGACCCGCGAACCCAAGAAACAACAACAACAACAACAACAACAACAACAACAACAACAACAACAACAACAACAACAACAACAACAACAACAACAACAACAACAACAACAACAACAACAACAACAACAACCACAACCACAACCACAACCACAACCACAACCACAACAACAACAACAACACAAAAAACAACAACAAAAACAACAACAACAGCAACAGCAACAGCAACAACAGCTTCAACAGCACCAACAACAACAACAACAACCACAACCACAACCACAACCACAACAACCACAACCACAACCACAACCACAACCACAACCACAACCACAACCACAACCACAACCACAACCACAACCACAACAAAACAAAGTGTTTCCTCGACCTCTGTCCCTCCCTCCTCCCGCGGCCGCGCCTCTCTTCCCCGTCAGCCCCTCTCGCTCCCGGGCGGTTCGCCGTGCCGTCGCCCGGCCTGCCCGAGCGCGCGTGCGGCGTGCACCGGCTGCGCTGCGACGACGTAGGGCCAGCGCTGCCTCGCTCTCGGCCTGCGGGGCCCGACGTCCGGCCCCACTCCTCCTCCTCCTCCTCCTCCTCCTCCTCCGCCTCCTCCTTTTCCTCCTCCTCCTCCCTCCTCCTCCTCCTCCTCCTCCCTCCTCCTCCTCCTCCCTCCTCCTCCTCCTCCTCCTCCTCCTCCTCCTCCTCCTCCTCCTCCCCTTCCAGCAACACTGGCACGAGCGGTTGCAGGGAGGACACAGGGCTCTCCTCGCATGTTGCACGCTCCCACTCGGCCAGCCCCCGCGCCGTCCCGAGGTGCTTGGGGTCTGCCACGCCTCCCACGCCCTGAGCGTAGGCGGTCGCGGCAGCAAGGCGGGGATGTCTGCCGCCCCTGCAGGGCGCCGACTCTGGAGCACGTGCGTTGGATGCCACACGCATCAGTGGAATGACGTATTGGTGCAGGAGGGAGGCATATGCAGGAAGTGCGGGAGACCAGTCAACTTGTACAAACCGAAGAGCAATGGTCAGTCCATGCCCACAGATGTGGTCTTGTTCCAGCCTGGCCCGAAGAACAAGGGCAAGGACAAAAAAGGTGGGCAGCCCGCGGGTCCTGGTGGTGGAGGAGCAATTGATTTGCTCAGTCAGACCATCGCGGCCACCAGCGACCCGATGGTCAAGCGAGTCCTGGAGACTCAACAAGCAGTCCTCGCCGCGCAGAAGCCTACAGAGACGCAGGTGACTGCAGACGAGGCGGTGCGCAAGGCTTCAGGCGCCTGGAAGGACGCCGAGGCGAAGCACACCCAAGCAGTGGATCAAGTACTTCGGTGCAGGGCAGCCTTAGCCAAGGCCGAGGCGCGCGAGAATGAGTGCGCGCGCACGCTGGCCCAGGCAGAGTTCAACAAGCAGGTAGCCATCAAAGCCCTCGCCAATGCTTCGGGATTGAAAGTGCAGGCGCATGGTGAGGGTAAGGTGGGTGGCGACCAAGCCTCCAACGGCGAGTGTTTCCGCGTGGAGGTCGACGAGGCTGTCTTCGCGTCCACCAAGGAGTTAGATTGCGAGGGGAGCGAGCAGAAGGAGTTCGCGGAGCTGGAGAAGCAGCTGCGCGATGTGCAGTCAGTCATGGCCATGAGGTCGGCGGAGGTGAAAGACTGGGTCGAGCGGACCAAGGCCATGAAGGCGGCCATCCAGGACAGGATGCAGAAGAAGAGGAGGACGAGCGACGGCGCTGCGTCGGGCGGCGCTGGCAGTGCTGGGCAGGCGGCGGCCGAGGGCACCGAGCCCACGGCGGCCGCGGGCGCGGTGCCGCCAACGGGCAGCAGCAGCAGCGGCGGCCTCTCAGACGAGGCCTTAGCGGCCAGGGCCAAGCAGCTCAGCGACGCCAAGCCCGCGGGGACCGAGGCGGCGAAGCAGGTGGCGGCGGCGACTGCCGCCGCGGCCGCGTCGTGAAGTTCGATCGCGGCGCCTAGCCCTGCTGGCGGAGGCGTCGCGTCTGACAGCTGCCTCAGCTCAGGAGGTGGCATTGCAGCTAGTACGGCCACGTTCTCGGCCTCTTCAACATCGGCGACAGCGACGACTACTGGTCAGCCCACAGGTGCGAGTCCTTCGCAGCGGTGTGGCTCAGTGTCAGCTGGCGTAGTGCATTCAGATGATGACAGTGGCACTGGAGATTGCAGTGCGCTCTTTTCCTCGAGCTGCACTTGTCTGGGAAAGAAAGCATGGGGGCATATCCAGTCGCTGGTGTCGGACACGTCGGACAATTCAATTGATCTTCTTGGGTTAGTTGAAACTCATATCGGGGACTCATTGAGCAAGGCGTGGGGTGCTAAGTTCCGCCCACTCAAGCTCAAGCATGTCGACCATCTGGCGGGGGGCACAGGTCTCGGCAACACCGAGGCCAAGCGTGACCGCGCCAACGCAGGAGGTGAAGTCCTTCTTTTTTTGCCAACATCTCCAGGTTCATCGGTTCCCGATCTCAGCGGAGGAGGTGCCTGACCTATGTGCAGATGGTCATTCCGCATACGACGGATTCTTGCCTGTGGTTGTGCATTTCCACTCATGCCCAGTGGTGCTTGTGATGGTATATGGGCATCCCACGATTGGTATGCGAGCAGCCAACCTTCAACGGTTCCACCGACTCGGAGGGTTTCTCCGAGCACTACAGTTTCCATGGATATGTATAGGGGACTTCAACGTGACCGCGGAGGTGCGGCAGAGGTCCAGTTTTCTCTCAAGGATCCATGGAAGGATTCGGCGATTTGAGGCAGAGTTCACTTGCGCGACGGCCAAGGGTGCATCACCTATCGATTACCTCGTCGCAGGCCCAGGAGGTGAGAGTTTCATTGTCGACATACGCGCTGGTCACAACGTTCCCTGGGGGCCGCGCTGTGGGCTACGTCTGAAGCGTCAGCAGCTTTTGACACGGTCGCTCATTGTTGCAAGCAAGCTCACACAGGTGAGTCGGCCAGGCACGGTGCCGACACCGGGCTTCCAAGAGCAGTAGGACGACAGCTGGTCGCTCAGTCCGAGCTGCCCTGGCCAAGGAAAAACTTGTCGACGAATCGCTCGAGCGTTTTGGCGATTTGTTTCAGGACCTCGATGGGGGCGGCGAGCGCGATCAATTCCCTGAGCCCGTTGTTTTTGAAGCCGCTGCCCCCGTCGAAGGCGAGGGGGAAGAGGGCCCGCGGGCTGAGGAAACATGTTTCAAGCCGGCGTTTGAGGGAGGTTCGGGGGCCGTCGAAGCCTCTGGAGCCTCTAGCTCCGCCTGTAGTTCCTCGGTGCCCGTTAGCTCGTCCCCCGAATTCGGTGATAGTTCTCTTAGAGCGCCTATCAATTCGTCGATGACCGCAGCCGACCCAGGTCCGCCCAACATGAGTGACGAGTTTGCCCAGGAGCCCCTTTCAGAGCCCCCCAGCTGCAGCAGTTTGAGCGGCCCCAATGTTCAGGGGATGCCTCTGAAAATATGTTCAGGGGATGCCTCTGAAAATATGGGGCCTGGTGCTGTTGAATCGTCGCCCGGGAGCCCTGAGTTCCAAGTGTCATCGGACTGTTGGGTTTTGGCTCAAACTCGTATCGGGTCCAGTTCCATTCCGTCCCAAAGCAATGAAGTATACACACACTGGTATCCCATTCATGATTGGCTGGCGACGCGAGTTGCTCGGCCGCATGTACACCACGCGTCGGCACTATATGCAGGATGGGTTTCAACTTTGGAAGCCGCGATATCCAGCCATCACAGTTTACTTCCGAGTTCAGTTTCACGTGCTGCGGACCCACATCTCCGCGTGCGGCGGGTTCAGCAGGCGGCCACCTTCCGCGAGGCTCCCTTACAAGACAAGGTGGCCAATTGGTGGTCGCGAGTAGTCCAGGTTTTGGTGAAAGTTACGAGGCATCGGGAACGAGGTAATGGAGCACGCCAGCTGATTGACCTTCGTGAGCTTGGCAACAGGCTCGGTACCGACTACCCTGAGGGAACTCATGCAGCTCTTCCGTCCAACGATTGCGAGGACTGGGAGCACTGGGTGACCTTCTCACGCAGCAACTTCTTTGCAGCTTCTTGGCAGCTTCTTGCAGGTAGCACAGCGCGCTGCGAAGCGTGCTGCTTGTAGAGCTCTTCGACGCTCCCTTTCAGAGCTCAAAGAACGGATTTCGTCGGCAGGAGCGTCCGGGGTGCTACACAAGAGCATGAATGACTTGCCGACAGTGCAAAACTAATTATTTCACAATGATCGTTTTCTCTTCCACCCGAAAGACGTGATCGATGCCAACGCGACTAAATGGCACGAGTTATGGTACGACCCCGATTTCAGCATCGACAAGATTTGCACCTCGTTCGCCAACATGCGCGAGTGGGCTCGCATACATGGGGTTAGCTCCCATCGACGGCGACGGGGTGATGTCGGCGGCTGCACGCATGAAAGCTAGAGCAGGGCTTGGCGTTGACCAACTGACACCGTTGGATATTCAAAGATTACCGTCCGAAGGTCACGAAGCAATCGCAGGTATCCTCAACCTGGTGGAAGATACGGGTACATGGCCGACTCAATTGTTGTGTGTGTGTGTGTGTGTGCGTGTGTGTGTGTGTGTGTGTGTGTGTGTGTGTGTGTGTGTGTGTGTGTGTGTGTGTGTGTGTGTGTTTGGGACGGCTCCTACCCAAGAAGGCAGGTGGGGACCGCATCGTAGTTTTGTTGCCGATAGTTTGTCGTCTGCATACCCTCATTCGGGAGCCTCTGACCAAGTGTTGGTCGTGCGACGCGGCCACGGAGTGGGATGCAGCAGTCGCTGGCAATTCGGCGCTGCAGGAGGCTTTCTTGAAGGCAGTCGATTAAGAGGTGTGTGTGTGTGTGTGTGTCAAACTTGGTGTTCCCAATGGTTGTGCATTATTAGACCTCACATATTTTTATGATATGCTCAGGTGGAGCAAGCTGCCCGACGCGGCTATTCGACTGGGGTTCCCTGGTATTGTGTTGTTGTAAGAAGTTCAACTCTGCGTGGCGCCGAGAATCTTGGCGCAATGTGGGGCACGCGCAACACCTCTCCAGCCCACCAGGGGCATCATCCAAGGATTGAAGAATGGAGTGAGATTCGGGAGGTGCCTCACCCACTTTATATTGGACAGGTTGTGCACGGCCAGAGTTGCTTCTACCCGGCGTATATGGGTGGATGATTTGTATATTGGACAGAAAGGATCTCGGGCCGCAGTGCGCCAATCTATCATTTCAGGAGTTGTTCTGGTTCGAGATCAGGTTGTCGGAGCTGGCATCCAGCTGGCACCCAAGAGCGTGATCTTGTGTGACACAATGAACGACAGCAAGCACATATCCAAAGTTCTGCGGAAAAAGGAATAGCTAATCAAGCAGTGTTGCAGGTGAGTTATCTCGGCATTGATTTGGGAGGCGGTCGCAGAGTAGCACGGTCTTCTCGGCAGGCTCGCACACTCAAAGCTACAGCCTGCTTGCTTCCAAGTGCTATGAGACGACGACGAAGATCGAATTTGCGGGGCCGCAAGCTGCTGCGACATACGCTCATCATGTCCACGGCACATTCGGCTGGCGTCTGCAGCGGCTGCGGAGGCAGCTCGGGCCGGTGTCAGGGGCGCATCAGAGAGGAAGGTGTCTTAAGACACTACTCGATGTCCGCGCCCCGCTTCAGGGCCCAGGCGCACGGTTACCGCAGCTATGTGTGAATTAATGGCTACGGACTTGGGTCGATTACCCTCGCACCCGAGCAGGTGTTCGACGAGCGTGGGGTGGTGTTGTTCAACATGTGCGTGATCTTGATATCAATGAACGAAGCAGATATATCCACGGGCCAAATTTCGGCAATAGTCAAATATTTGGTGAATGCTGGGCGGGGCCCCAAGTCCCCATCACATTGGTGCCGACCTGACGATTTCGGGCTGGAGCCAGTTGATGGGATTTTCCCCGACAGCGGCATCGACCTGCAGCATATTGACACGACCGACCTGTTGCATGATTTCGGGCAGAGCTTGGACCTCCAGCAGTGGCCAGAGGCAGCTCTGTTGAATCACGGGGCTGGTCTGGAGCAAGGAGCGGACAACGATTCCCTTCGGCGTCTTGTCTCCAGGCTCCGTGCAGGTTCACGCGGGCATCAGCTGGCGGAGCTCACGCTGGCGATCAGTACTGGGGGTGTTGGACACGTTCAAGGAAGTTCGAGGCGGGGATCAGCAAGTCCAATGTGCGCCTGCGGTGCAAACAGGCGCCAGAGGACATGAGACATCGCGCCTGGTTGTGCAGTGCCAACAAAGACTCCAAGGCGCATGTTGACTCAGATAAGCTGGTGCCCGCCGCACTGACGCAAGGGGGCAGCGAATCGTGCCTGTGGCATCGAGGCTTGGCCCCACGGCACATGACGGCCGCGCCAGCAGCAGCTATGCAAGAAGAGTGGACAGGCGTGGACCTGTTCCAAGGCGAGATCGGAGCTGAGTGCCTAGGGATTGGTTCGCTTTCTCAACCTCTGCTCGTTTTCGGTGATGCGTCAGGTGGTCCTGAGAGTCGGTTTCCAACGTTGAGGAGAGTCGGCCTCGGCTTGGCAGTGATGACCGACCCGATCACCTTGACCATCGGGCCCAAGATAACAGGACCGCTCACAGGACGAGTTCAATCAGTACCGCGGGGAGAGCTGCGGTGTTTGGAGCTCGCCTTCAGGTGGTCAGCTGGCCTGACCGTGTACATTTATGACAATGAGAATGTTGTGCGCGGCTGGTGCGCTCAGCAGTAATTGAACCCTGGCAGGAGTGAGATGAGTGGACTGGGGGCGGAGATCGGGGTCCTGGTTAAGCACAGAGGGGCCCCAGCGAGATCGTCGTGTTGCACGTCAACTCCCACCAGACTGTCAAGGATGTGTGCGAGAAACAAACCCCTGAGTGGCTCCTTCGAGGCAAGGGAGTGGCTGACGCCATCGCCTCAGGAGCCGCTGAGAGATGTAGGTTGCCAAGTAGTGTTCGTTCCAGGATCGCCGAGGTGGAGGGGCGTGCTGCTTTGATTAGGCGGAGGCTCCTCAGGGCCACCCTCGAGGCAACGGCTGCCGAGCGCGAGGATGCGAAGATTTCTGCGCCCGATCCTGGTGGTCGTGCCCCGTCGGGCCCTGCCCCGCGGCCACCCTCCCCCGCGGTCCTGGCCAGGTTTAAGACTGCACGCTTGCTTAGTGATTGCGGTTTTAAGTGTACCACGTGCCGCAGCAGTGGCACGAAGGTCACCCTCCACGAGTGGTTAGACTCCCCTTGTGAACCCTTAGAGTACGTCGACTCTGTAGTCTCCAGAGGGCCACGAAGGAAGCTGCACTTAGCTGGGGGGTGGGCTCATGAATATCATAATGTGTTGTTTCACCAGTCGCTCGGGGTCTGGATCTGTGGGGCTTGCGGGTTTTTCTTTTCGGCCAACCTACAAGCGGGGCTCAGGCAGGCGTGCCTTGGTTCTGGTTCCCTCAATGATACGACGCGGTCCTACCTGGACCGATTTCATCGAGGAGTTGTCCCCAAGCCTTTAAGCGCAGCTGAACGGGCTGCGCGGCGGAAGCCTGGGGGGTAGGTGCTCTCTTTCATTAACATCGTCATGGTGCTATCCCGATCCCTATCATCCTCCTCCTCCTCCTCCTCCCTCCTCCCTCCTTCTCCTCCTCCTCCTCCTCCTCCTCCTCCTCCTCCTCCTCCTCCTGGCCCCCATGAAAGCAGTCTTGGAGCGCCTGGGGCCGCGGTTTGCAAAACCACATCGGGGAATATCTGGGGAGAGGTGTGTTGTGTCTTCGCAAGACCTCGTCTGCCACATCGCTCCACTGTTCTCGTCGAGTCCGCGTGGCGCGTCGAATCCAAATCGAAGCCGTGTCGAATCTACGCCGAATCCGCGTGAGTCTCAGCATGAGTAAGTCTGAGTAGGAGTATGTCTGAGTATGAGTAGGTCTGAGTATGAGTATGATTAATTTTGTGTGTGTGTGTGAGTAAGTCTTGGTATGAGCAAGTCTGAGTGTGAATCAGTCTGTGTATGAGAAAGTTTGGGTATGAGGAGGAGAGGGGAGCAGAAGAGGAAGAAGAAGGAGTAGGAGGCGTCCACGAAATATCAGGAACACAATCTGAGGATATGGGGGAAAACGCCATAAACATGAGCTCTTGGCGCTCCGCACGGGTTTATTGGATCCGCGCTGGGCCGCCCTGGCGGCGCTTCTAGCGCCGCCCCTAGAGCGCTCCGCGCGCCAGGGAGGGGGTCTAGCGCAGATCGTAGAAATCCGCGCGGAGCGCCAAACATTTATGTTTATGGCGCTGCTAATTCTAACTCAGCCTCTCCTGACCCTGTGTTTCGCCAGCGGCGTGAGGCTCAGCGGAACGAGGAGCACGCCGCCTTCGTCAGCGGCCAGAAGGACGACGAGGCAGCGGCGCCTCCCACCCACCCCCGCGCGGGCCCGGAGGGCTCGCTCGGCAGGGTCTGCTCGGGGCGGGGCTCGGCGCGACACAAGAAGAGCACAACCACCGCCTCTGGGACCGATCTTCTTCGCGGACCTCGGCAGGCGGTGTGTATGGACGAGTGCGGGGCCTGCGCGACTTTCGGAGCTCCGCGCGGATGTCTCGGATCGGCGCTGGGCCCCCTCCCTGGCGTCTTTGGCGCCACCCTTGGCGCGCTCCGTGCGCCAGGGACGGGGGTTACGGCGCAGATCCAAGACATCTGCGCGGCACTGGACTCCGGAAGTTGACGTTGATGCAGTTTATGGTTCCTGTATCGGAGGGGGGCCACATACGTTCATACCCACCGCCTGCCGAGGTCGCGAAAGTCGACTCCCCGGGCGGTGGTTGTGGATGAATCCCCGCCGCGCCCAAAGAGCTTTTCAAGTTTAACGAGATTTAGTTGGATTGGGTGGGTGCTCACGCGGGGTTTTAATGGGGTTTGGTGGGATTCAGTGGGGTCGCAAGTGGGATTTAGCAGGATCTAGATGGTTTAGTGGGGGCCACAAAACCCAACTAACTAGGCGCTCGTGCGACCACTTGGGGCTTGCATGCGTGGCCACCTAACGTGCTACGCCCTCGTGGTGCGACGATCAGCCATCCAACTGTGGCTCGTCCGCGTATATCTTGTGCATGTGGCCCTTTTCCGCCTGTCCTGTTAGGTTGGCCTGTCGTCTGACTACCTTGACGGCGCGTTGCTGCTTGCGTCGCTCGCGATCAAAAGTATATCTCGTGCGCGCGCCCGTCTGGTATCGTGCGGCAGGCCCGCGCAGACGAGGTCTCCTCTCGGGGTCGACTGCGCTCGACTCCGCTGGCAATCGTGGCGCGGCGCACTGCCGCCTGGCAAGTCAGTCCAACGAAGATGTGTGTGTATGTGTGTGTGTGTGCGTGTGTGTGTGTGTGTTTGTGTGTGTTTGTCTGTGTGTGTGTGTGCGGCATTGGTCGCCCGCGTTCCGCCGCTTGCACTCGACCTTCTACGCCCCGTCATCGCGAGCGGGGCCGCGACACCCAAAGGTGTGTGCGGCGTTGGGCTTGTGCAGATGTGGAGTAGAGTGCAGCCGTCATCAAATTCTCAGTGCGCGATCGCGCACCACCCTTGCAACAGTGTTTTCGCAGCGCTCCTCGAGGTAAGGGTCGGTACCGAAACGCCCGCAAGTCCGAGTCAGGCTGATGAGGTTGGCGTGGAGAGGGGGCGGGCCGGCGCGGGGCTGGAATTGGGAGGGCGCGGGAACAGACGAACATGGCAGGCCACAGAAGGATAGCTTGTTGTATGTACATACACACAATCGAACGCCGTTGGCAGGCAATCATTATCACGAGGCCGATCAAGGACAGTGTGACTGGCTGGCGTTTCGACTGCATGGCGTGCAGTGGTTTGGCCCGGTGATCTTGCGGATGGGTGGCAGGGGGCAGCTGGAGGCGGCGGGTATTTCTTCGCGGTGACGGGCTCACAGAGTGAGCGAGCTCGCCCCAGGCCCCCTCGCGAGCGCGCGATCCGACCCACGCCAGGCACTGCAGGTCGGCCAGTGGGTGGGGAGCAGCAGGCTTCGGCGGGCACCGGAGCCGCCGCGCCCAGGACGCCGCCACGACGGTGGCCTCGGCGATCGAGGTGCTGGAGGCCTTCTACAAGCAGAACACAGTCTTCGTCCAGAGAGCTGGGGCCAAGGATCGGCACCAGCTTCCACATGTTGAGAACGACCCGCCCTCCATTCGGCGGCCGTGACGCATGCTCTTTAAAAACAGAATGCGCGCGGCGCTAGGGCGAGAAACAAATTTTGAAAACGAGCCGCATTCCATCCGTGAAATCAGGGGCAACGATAGGGGGGGGGATGGGCACAGCGGGGGGATGCCTCGATCCCCAATCGCCCATGGACCGCCGATAGGGACCCGATAACCCCACCCCGCCCAGGAAGGTGCGGACTCACGATCGGGAGCTTGTCGCCGATCTATCGGCGATGTGTCGCCGATTCCAGGCTTGATGCATCCCCCCCTGTGCCCATCCCCCCCTATCGTTGCCTCTCAAAACATCGGCCCGGGATGGAACACGTGAGACCGTTTTTTTTGTAAGCCCCTGGCGATGACGGGCGTGACCCAAGCCCAGACCCCTCGGATCATGGATAGAACAACTCGCGACGGCAGGTTTTTCAAAAATTTTGCATCTGGGGCCCCTTCCTGGGCATCGAGACCGGCAAACAACGGCTCAGGAGGAAACGCCGCTCTCGGGGAACGGGTCGAGACCTCAGGGGGTCGATTATGACACACCTCAGGGGGTCGATGTATCGCCGCTTCCAGGTCGATGCATCCCCCCCTATGCCCATTCCCCCCTATCGTTGCCCCCCCATGAAAGTGTGGCAGTTTTGTTGAAGTGTGCGCGGCGCCCGCCCGTGCCCGGCGCCCGCTCGTCGGGCAGCGCCTGCCCTGCCGCTCCCCGCCCCCTTGCGCCTGCGCCCGCGCGTCGGCGGGAGGCATGGCCATACGGCAAGCCCGCGTCGTGAGGACGGGCATCCTTCCCAAGGGTACCCTTCAGTCGGGCCTGTCCCTCTACAGGGGGAGTATTCAAAAATAGTCACACAAACAAGAATCAGGGGACTATGTTTTGAGTATTTTTTGACTTATGTTTTGCGTATTTGACGAACCAACAACACACACCCATACCCATAGGGGGATCGGAGGGGGCTATGGTTGCGCTTTGTCGGATGGGGGTCTCCGCTCGAACGGGAGCGTTCCCCAGGGTCCGACAACCCGCACCCATACTCACAGCCAGTCCTCTTCCCAACGACCCCCCTATGGGTATGGGTGTGTGTTGTTCGTTCGTCACATACGGCAAGCCCGCGTCGTAAGGACGGGCATTCTTCCCTACCCTTGAGTCGGGCCTGTCCCTCTACAGGGGGAATATTCAGAAATAGTTACCAAAAAAGGTCTGGGGACTATGTTTTGGGTATTTGTTTACTTCTGTTTTGCGTACCTGTTGTTTTTCGTCGAAAATCCCCCTGTAGGGGGACACGCCCGACTTAAGGGTACCCTTGCATCCCTGCCTCCTCGGTCCATCCATGGCCACTCTCGTTGGCCGCGCCCCGGTCGAAAAGCTTTTGACGGGGCGTCCAAGGCCATTGCATCCTTGTCGTGCATCCTCATGATACGGGCCGGCTGCAGCAACTTTCACTCGGGCCAGTCTGAAGAGGCGACGTGGCTGCCGACAGCTCACCCACAGCGCCCCAGAACACGAGCTTTCCCAATCAAAGGCTTGGGATCGTCAGTGGTTGCATTGTGTGGATCGGCCGGAGCGAGCGCCAGCCTTCTTCTGCGGCGAGGGCCATCCTGGGGGGGGAGCTGGCCAAAACGAGCAGGTCCGGCTCGGCCTCCTGCTGCTCCAGACCTGGGCCGATCCAGCCCTGGGTGACTGCTGCAGCTTCTGCTGGTTCTGCTCTGGCTGCTTCTCTCGCGCCGAAGACCAAAACCACATGTCATAAACATGATTTCTCTGAGCTCCGCGCGGGCTCGAGAGGGGGGGGTCAGCGCCGCGAGCTAAGACATCCGCGCTGAGCTCAAAGTCGTTATCGCATTACCGAAGCAGTTGCAGTTTTTTGTACGCATGCAGTTGCTTGGTGTCGCGATCGCACTTGCCCCATGCTCGTTCGAGCCCTTTGTCATTCGGCGCTCCTTTGCCCCGTCCCCGTCGTGGTCTGTCCCGACACAGTTTTCGGCCCCGCCTGCTCTGGGGTCTTGCTCGGCTCACGACCGCTTCGGATCCCGAGTCGTTTGTTCAGCCACCGCCTCTCTTGGCATCTTCGTTCTCGACGTTAGCTGCGTGAGCCCACCCCGCAGCAGGAGCGTGCGGGTTCGCCGTCGGGTGCCGCAAGATCGAGGTTTCCCGCTGGTCCCCTCCTTCCTCCTCCTCCTCCTCCTCCTCCTCCTCCTCCTCCTCCTCCCCCTCCTCCTCATCCTCTTCCTCCCTCTCCTCCTCCTCCTCCTCCTCCTCCTCCTCCTCCTCCTCCTTTCAAGATTCCCCCACAGGTGAAGGAGGCTCGGGCCCCCACTAGCCCCTGGTCAGCCAAGCCCGTCGGTCTGGACAAGCAGAGCTACTGGGAAGGATCGCCGAGCCCACCCGATCGGACGGTAATCACATGCAGATGGCCACCGAGGAGTGCTCGTCCGGGGACGTCGAGAGGCGCTGGCGGCCCAGGAGCGCGACGACATCTTGGACGGGTCCGAGATGCCCGAGAAGTGGACACACCTTTTGCGTCGGCGGCGAGGCAGGGGCAGGCTGCGCTAGCGGAAAGGCCTAAACGGGGATGTTGTTATGGCGAGGTGTGCCACCATGCAAGGAGGAGGAGGAGGAGAAGGAGGAGGAGAAGGAGGAGGAGGAGGGCGCGGCCGAAAGAAGGGGCGGGAGGGAAATGGACACACACACACACACAAAACACACACACACACACACACACACACACACACACACACACACACACACACACACACACACACACACACACACACACACACACACACACACACACACACACACACACACACACACACACACACACACACACACACACACACACACACACACACACACACACACACACACACACACACACACACACACACACACACACACACACACACACACACACACACACACACACACACACACACACACAACACACACACACACACACACACACACACACACACACACACACACACACACACACACACACACACACACACACACACACACACACACACACACACACACACACACACACACACACACACACACACACACACACACACACACACACACACACACACACACACACACACACACACACACACACACACACACACACACACACACACACACACACACACACACACACACACACACACACACACACACACACACACACACACACACACACACACAAACAACACACACACACAAACACAAACACAAACACAAACACAAACACAAACACAAACACAAACACAAACACAAACACAAACACAAACACAAACACACACACACAACACACAACACACAACACACAACACACAACACACAACACACAACACACAACACACAACACACAACACACAACACACAACACACACACACACGCGACACACACACACACATGCGGTGTCTTGTTTTTCAACACGGTGTCCCAGGAAGTCCCGACCGTTTGCCCAGGCACGTTTGTCATCCCGACTCTTCCTTTGACAGCCCCGGGAGGAGGGAGCAGGAGAGGGTGGAGGAGGGGGAGGGAGAGCAGGGGGTGGAGTTGGGGAGCTGCCCCGCGAGTGCGTGAGCCTGTCGACGCGGGGGGCCGTGCTCGCCGCCCCCGCTGCCCAGAGGGCCCCCCCCCTCCAGGAGCCCGTGGAGGTGGCGGCCGGCCAGGCGCCGCCTCCGCCGCCCAAGACCTGGAGCGAGCCGGAGTACGGAGGCGCCGGGGCGCGCCGCGGGGCCGGGGCGCTCTTCCGGAGGCGACGCTGGATCTCAGCCACGCGCAGAGGGGGGTGGGGGCAGGGGGGAGGGCTGCTCAGAAGCACCCCTGCCTCTCAGGAGGCGCGGGCCTTGTCTGCAGATGTCAGGCCGGCGCCTTCTGAGGAGCAGCCTGCTTCTAAGAAGCCCTCCCCCCCTCCCCCCACCCCCTTGTGCGCGCCGCCAAGGATCGGAGGCTGGCAGCAGGGTCCGTTGGACAGGGTCAGTTTCGCTGGACTCGAGGTCCCTCAAGCCCGACCTCAGGCACTCTTCGGCACGACCTGTGGCGCCCCGGCGGCCGTCGAAGTCACCCTTCTTGAACCAGACCTTCTCGCCGTCCTCGATGTACGCCTCCTGTCAGGAGGGAAAAAACACACAGACACAAATAATCTTCGATTCCGAGGAAAATATGGGAAAATATGGGAATTGGGGGGGAAGACAAAAACCCAGAAAATATGGGAAAATATGGGGACTATTTTTATTTGTGTGTATTTATTTGTGTGTCCTAATTTCCCTTTATCCTGGAGGGGGACGGAGTGCATGGGGTCGGAGGATCGCGCCGCATCGCCGATGCATCGGCGATGCGGCTCGATGCGGAGCCCGATGTTCTCCACGCCGACGTCGTCGATGCATCGCCGATGTCGCCGATGCGATGCGATCCGCCGACCATATCTGCTCGGAACTCCGACCCCATCTAGGAGGCCTCTACTGTCGGGGGCGGCGATGGGCGATGAGGGCGAGTAGCCCACATCGGCCACGCGCAGAGGGGGGCAGCGGGAGGGGGGAAGGCTTCCTAGAAGCACCCCTGCTTCTTGGAAGGCGCGGGCCTTCCCTATAGATGCAAGGCCGGGGCCTTCTAAGAAGCAGGAGGTTTCTAGGAAGCCTTTCCCCCTCCCCCTACCCCCCTTTCGCGCGCCGCCAACTTTTTCGGAGGCGACGATGGACGATGAGGGCGAGTAGCCCACGGGCTGGCATTCCCTGATCCCTCGCGATGTGAGAAAATCACGACGGGAGGTGTTTCGCTATGTTCGGCCTCTGGGGGCCCTTACTGGGCCGCGGGACCGTCAATGACTGACCCAGGATGAAAAACGGTCCCGGGGAAGGGGCCCAGACCTCTGGGGGTCGACGTTGTGGAAAAATCCCGACGTCGCGTGTGAGATAGTGCATGTGTCACGTGTGTATATGCACCACTCGCTGCCGTTTGACCTCTAGGGGCCCCTTCTTGCCATTGCGCTCCATGGACGATGAGGACGAGTAGCCCACATCGGCCACGCGCAGAGGGGGGCAGCGGGAGGGGGGAAGGCTTCTTAGAAGCACCCCTGCTTCTTGGAAGGCGCGGGCCTTCTCTATAGATGCAAGGCCGGGGCCTTCTAAGAAGCAGGAGGTTTCTAGGAAGCCTTCCCCCCTCCCCCTACCCCCCTTTCGCGCGCCGCTACCTTTTTCGGAGGCGACGATGGACGATGAGGGCGAGCAGCCCACGGGCTGGCATTCCCTGATCCCTCGCGATGTGAGAAAATCACGACGGGAGGTGTTTCGCTATGTTCGGCCTCTGGGGGCCCTCACTGGGCCGCGGGACCGTCAATGACTGACCCAGGATGAAAAACGGTCCCGGGGAAGGGGCCCAGATCTCTGGGGGTCGACGTTGTGGAAAAGTCACGACGTCGCGTGTGAGATAGTGCATGTGTCACGTGTGTATATGCACCACTCGCTGCCGTTTGACCTCTAGGGGCCCCTTCTTGCCATTGCGCTCCATGGACGATGAGGACGAGTAGCCCACATCGGCCACGCGCAGAGGGGGGCAGCGGGAGGGGGGAAGGCTTCCTAGAAGCACCCCTGCTTCTTGGAAGGCGCTGGCCTTCTCTATAGATGCAAGGCCGGGGCCTTCTAAGAAGCAGGATGTTTCCAGGAAGCCTTCCCCCCTCCCCCTACCCCCCTTTCGTGCGCCGCTACCTTTTTCGGAGGCGACGATGGACGATGAGGGCGAGTAGCCCACGGGCTGGCATTCCCTGATCCCTCGCGATGTGAGAAAATCACGACGGGAGGTGTTTCGCTATGTTCGGCCTCTGGGGGCCCTTACTGGGCCGCGGGACCGTCAATGACTGACACAGGATGAAAAACGGTCCCGGGGAAGGGGCCCAGATCTCTGGGGGTCGACGTTGCGGAAAAATCCCGACGTCGCGTGTGAGATAGTGCATGTGTCACGTGTGTATATGCACCACTCGCTGCCGTTTGACCTCTAGGGGCCCCTTCTTGCCATTGCGCTCAAACGCATCATAAACACATCGCGGGTCTGGCTTACACGCATTCGCCGGGGAGCTTCGTCAGAATGCATGGACCATCGGCGTCCCTGGAGTTACATGTATTGCTCTACCCTGAGCTATTCGCCCCCATCGTCGTCCCCACGTTATCCCTGTGTGTGTGCGCGCGTGCGTGCGTGCGTGCGTGTGTGGTGTGTGTGTGTGTGTGTGTTTGTGTGTTTTTTTGGTGTGTGTGTGTGTGTGTGTGTTACACCTTTCGGCCTGTGTCGGCCACTGTTGCACCACCTTCGGCGTATTGAAGGGCTTCGGTGGACGGCCACACGCTGGCGCTAATACACGTTCACAGGATCATCGATCTTATCGCCGTGAAGGGAGCGATGCTCGGTACGATCGACACCCTGTGATCCCGGCGTGGCAGCTTTCTCACACCGAGCGTTTTCGCATGGTTGCGGGCTCTGCGATCATCACAGAGCGATGCGGCTCGAAGAGCTCAGCAAAACGATTTGGTCTGGGGCTATGGCTGCGATTGCTCACGATGTTGCAGTGATTTCGCCATAAAGGGAGCGATGCTCCCAGACATGCTCAAGTCGTGACACAGTCACGAGGGGAGTTTTTATTCGTTTTCGGTCTCCAGAGGCCTCCGTTGTCTCAGCGGGCCCTCCTCTCAATCCCAGAGGAGGGCGTTCTTGGAGGAAGTTTGGTCGATTCTTGGGGGTGTTCTAGCCGTGGGATGCTTCCCAGCAGCTGCGGATCGTCCCGAACGGCCGCCCGAGGCCCGAGTGATGACCCGAAAGCCGCCATGCGTCAAAGAGGTGATGAAGATCACGGGTGTGTGTGTGTGTGTGTGCGTTGTGGGACGCGCGGCCCGCTTAGCTTCGACCGGAAGAGGTGCGCTCTCGACCCGCGAATCAAAAAAAGTGTGTGTGTGTGTTGTGGGAGGGTGGGGGTGGGGTGTGATTTGTGTGGGTGTCATGCCCAGGGCCATAAACTTGTCCAGATGTCATGGCCTCCTCGCTGCTTTCACTGCGTTCCCGGGCTCCCCCCTCGTCCGCGCAGGTGCCTCCGGCCTCGGGCCCCTGGTGCGGTGGCCTCTTCCTGCCCCCCCCCTTTCGGTGCCCCTGATGGTGCCTCTGCTGCCGCTGCCGGGTGCTGCTGCTGCTGCCTCGGCTGCCGTTGCCAGGCGCGTCGGGGCCCTGGAGGGAGCATCGGGGGTGGACAGACCTCCTACCCTGACACGTCGATTAGTGAATTGGCCGTTTTCGGTTCGCGAGAGGGCGTCGCGGCCGTCATCTTTGCGGGTCCAGGTCCGTCGGTTTCGGTCCCAGGCCGGTTTCACTAAAGGGAGGTTTACTAAAGTGAGGTTTGTCCACAGCCGAGAGCACTGGTGCGTCCGGGAGGTCCGGGCTAAACGCGTACGGCTTTGCACGAAGAACCGAGGCTGGCGTTGGCGGTATACCTCGCGAACTTCGTCGTATCTTTTTGCAGAGTCTTTTCCATCACAGCCGGGCCAACATAGGCCATCCCCCCGACGTCTCGTTCTTGCGAAACCAATATGTGGTGCACACGCGTTCACTTATGACGTCTTTTACCTGACAGGTCCCTGCAACACGTGCATTACGGGGCTCATGCGCGCGCCGCCGCGCGCACAACAACATTTTTGAACACCCATTTGTATGTTCGTAGTTTCAGAATAGGGCGATGCAATATTGGCATGACGCCTTGGCTCTCTAACAAGCAAGTACTAGAAGTTTGCTTGCATACAGTCGTTGTAATCATACGAGAGCCAGTCGTCGTTGGCCATTCTACCACATCGGACCATGCGGGCCATTCTTACGCGCATGTTGGAAACGTTCTCTCACCATCGCGCGCCGTCACCCCGCATGTCTCCGCGGGCGCAAATCGAACTCCTTACAAACGCATCTTGACAATCTCAGTACAGAAATGTTTTAGAAACTTGCCAACACCCAAATGGTGCTCAGCACACCCATGTCAGGATGTCTGGATTTCTGCTGGCGCGCATGTTCTCACCATGGTTATCAGTACAACCGCTAGCATTATCATCAACGTCATATTTATCTTTGTCCGCATGACCATCACCATCACCATCATCGACATCGTCGGGATTCAGGATCAGCACCGCCGCCGTCATCGTCGTCATCGTCGACGTCGTCGCCCTCGTCAAAGTTCTGCGCGCAAGCACGTCCTCATCGTCCTCACCGGCACCACTGGCATCATCATCGCCAGCGTCATTGTTGCCACCGGCATTGTCTTCTTTATCAGCCTCATCGCCATCACATTCGTCGTTGACATCGTACCGCCCCCATCTCCACTGTCATCGCCATCGACACCAGCGCCCCCACCAGTCTCATCGTTATCACCTGTGGCGTCGCGATCGTCACCATCGCCGCCATAATTTTGTGACCTCGGGAAGAGGTTTGTCTGTGCGGTTGACTTCTGCGCCCATGTGCGCTCGTTGGTATCATGGCCAGAGGAGAGTTGCCGACAAGTTGCAGGTGGGAGGGCGGGATGTTTGCACGAGGAGTAGAGTTGACGAATTCACGATTCTCAGAAGTATTTGCACCACACAGACTGCACCCAAAACATTGCGCCCCACAGATTCCTTCTCGTATGTTGCATATATTCACTCTTTGTGGTCCACGCGCTAGCACCATTTTCTTTTTTCTTCCATGACCCACGGTGGACGTTGTCGGTGACAGCCTGCTCAGCAGTGTAGATTCATCCAAACCATGCCTATTCTAGTATGGGTCTCAGCAGAGGGGAGTTGATTGGTGACGCGGCAGAAATGGTGTGGACTCATGGTGGGCATGAATCTTGTGCGTATGTCTTGATAGCATGGGGCCTGTTATGCGGAGAATGGCGGGCGCGCGCTCAAGGCAGGACAACCGAGTCCGATGGTATCATAATGATCTTGACGATGATCAAGGCTCGGCGGACGTTCTTCATACCTTCCTGGTTGATTGCGGTACATGGGGCGGTTTTGCCAAGCGTCTGTTCAAATTCCACCGCTGCCATGAGATATGCACCGTTTTTCGCCTGTGTATTTTGGTCCTATTGTGAGATCTCATCGGGGCGAGACCAGAAGCAAGAGGAAGACCCACGAGCCACCCCTACGAAGTTCGCAAGGCGAAGGCCAGATCTTTCTGGGCATTGGGCTGCAGGTTTGGACTCGCTGGTGCGATCGCTTTCCCCTTGGCGCTACCTCCTGCCCCTTGTGTTATTCACATTTGCTCTAACTCTCTTGTTTACTTTGCTAGGTCATCATGGTGGCGGTTTGTGGCCCAATGCGGAGGAAAAGGAGAAGAGGTTGTTTCTTATCACGTTGGCCTGGCTCGATGAGGCCGCGGCGCGCGCTGGCAGGGAGAAAGGAGAAGAGCGACGGGGTGGAAGGGGGGGGGGCCGGGAGGGGGCGGGTTGGGGTGCTCCCAGGGACACAGGTAGCCGCAGCAGCATCGCAGCAGCTTCCCATTTTGTGCCCATGGCCCTGCAGATGCGGTATCTTTGGGACCTGCCGCAGGTGTGGTGTGCAAGACTTACACTCAGCGCCCAGCCTCGCAGACACCGGGCGCAGCGCCGGAAGAAGGAGTCGACAGGAGTTCTCTCCGAGAGAGGTCGATGTTGGCGTCGAGGCCAGCCAAGGACGATGCGCCCCTACGGTCGGCGGCGGGGGTAGTGTCGGTTGCGGCAGGACGACATCTTGAAGGACAAGGCGGCGTCTGAGGAGGCCAGACTCGCTGACCCTTTCTGTGTGCCCCTTTCCTCCGTCATCCGTCATCATTTGCCTGCTTCTCTTGCTCCTTATCCCCCTGGTTCCACGTGAAGTACCGAGGACCCCCTCAATGCAAGCATGTATCGGGCAACGGAGCAGGGCCATAACGCAGGAGTGTCTTGCTCCAGTTTCTAGGTGCCCTGACTGCGAATAGTGCAGTGCTGATCCAATTGATGTGTTGTTCTCTGTTGATGGTAGCCCAGAGCGCGTATGCGTAAGCCCGCGTAAGCCGTGATGTCTACAGCGAGCTGTCACGAGGGCTGGTCTGGCTCGCGGTGAGTCTTGCAAGATGTATGGTGAGCGGTTGTTGTAGATTAGTTTGATATCGAAATATTAGTATTGGCAGGGGCACGGTCTCACGGGGACGACGTGATCTTCCTCCTCATGCTCATCATCCGCACTGTCGCCAAGGAACGCCACCGACACCCCACGACACCACAACACAGAACACCACGACAGCACGCTGCCCCGACGCCAGGACAGCCACCCCGGCATCCGCAGCAGGAGCAGGAGCAGCAACAAGAGCAGAACCAGCAGCAGCAGTAGCTAGGGGGCAAACAAACCTACCTCGCTTTTGACCACCCTCGCTTCCAAGAGATACCAAGCGATGCCAAACTATGGCCTGCACTGGTCAGGCCGCTTGACGAGGAGGCACGTGGTATGGCTTGGTTTTGCCTGGAAGCGAAAGCGGGGTAGGTAATTCCCGCGCTCAGTAGCAGCAGCAGGGCAAGTTGCAGCCGTGCCTTGGCAGCGCTGTGCGCGAGCGCACGGCCTCGTGCACACAGCCCGGGCACGAGCCGCGATCGCGAAGCATCCCGAGCGAGGCGGAGCACACGGCAGCAGAGCTGTACGCGGAGACGTCCCAGGCGCTCACCAAGGAGAAGGACTCTTTCTTCCACGTATCTCCAAGAAGAGACAATGGTATAAACATAGATGATCGGAGCTCCGCTGACCTCCGAATGCCTATGCCGATGTTTGGTTCCTCCAGTCTCCGCTCCCAGCCTTCCCTCGGAAGCCCACGCAGTGGCAGCCTCAGTTGCCACTTGCTCCTCTCCTCTCCAGGATTCGCGGGCTGCTCAGTGCTTGCGATGCGCCCCTGCCCTACCTTCCGCCTTCCCTCCTCCCGCACAATCTCAACAGTATCTGTTGAGCCGGAGCGTCCTCGACCGATTCAGGAGAGCCGACACTAATCAGCGTGTGATCTTCGAGCCAATGGTGGAGATGAATTGCTGCAACTTGGATCTGGATTGGAAGTCCAGAGTTTCAGGCCGACTTTCTGCCTAGGGCCGCGGTCACATCCAGAGTCTGCCCGCGAATTTGCGCGAACGAGGGGAAACTCGGGGAAGAGTCGATGAGCACATGCTTGGCAATGCCCGCGGGTCGGGTTCTCCTGGCTTCAATTTATTGTACATGTACACCTGCTAGCGGCTTCCCCAGACTCGACTCGTTTTCGTTAGGGAGTGGCAGCCCCCACGTGCCGAGAATGATGATGTCATGTGCCCTCCCACCCACGGCTTCGATTTCGGCTGCATCCCGCCGCACGTCCGGCTCACTGCCCCCTTGAGCCCAGAATGGCGCTCCTCCTCGCTTGGGGGATTCTTTGAGCCTCTTGGAGCCTTCCTGGACCTCTCTGCGAGTCCTCTTGGGGACCCCATGGGCCATCTTGGGATTCTCTGCCGACCCGTTAGGACCTCTTCTGGGGGCCCTCTCAGGGGCCCCTTTCGGGCCCTTCGAGATCCTCCTCGTGCTCTGCTGAACTTCTCGAAATCCAGAGCGAACGCACCTGCGCACATCCAGGGTATCACAAAGCGTGGTATGAATCAGCCCGGCAGTGGAAGGAAGAAGAAGCGATAGTCTGGTGGATTGAGATTGAGAGGAACAAACAAAATAATCGGACAGGGACATACCAGTGATCTTTGATCCGGCCGTTCGGGAGGTCGTATCGGGGGCCGCGGCCGTTCGAGAGCGTTCCGGGACGCTCTGAGACGACGCTCTGGAGCGATCTGTGCTGGTCCTGGGCCCGCCCGACAGAGGGTAGGAGTCAAGGCTCAACACCACCAGAGACCTTGGCGTCGCTCGGACGTGTGCATTTTTTTCTCGGCGAGGGCCATCGAGGAGCATCCTTGATCATTTGGCGAAAAAAAAAACACACGCACGAAACCGAAAAAACACAGGGAATGGACGTCCGAACGATGGCGAGCCAGAGACATGTCTTGGCTTTCAGCGTTGGAGGTGCGATACCAATTGAAACACTGCGAGATGTCTCAGATTGCTCTGAACGGGGGAGGCTTGCACACGTGGTCGTGTGATCAAGCGATGGCCAGTCAGCGCCAGTCAGCGTCTTTTCCCGCCCACATCAGGGCAGAAGGCGGAGGGGAAGCGCTGGGCCCCTCGATCCGCAAAAGGGGTGATCCTCACAAGGGGTTCCCAAGTAAGGACGATGACAAGCACACGTGGTACGACCGACGTTGCCCTCTGGGCCTGGAGAGGAGCCGCTCGCGAAAGGCGTGCGGGCCTACTTTGACTCTGCACCCCCCCCGCCCTGACGTCAGTGGCTGGAGGTAGCATGCCGCCTCCTCCCCTCCCTCTTGCTCCTCCTCCTCCTCCTCCTAGGCGTCGCGCCATTCCCAAGCCAGCCCCATTTTGGCATCGCTCTCTTGGGAACAGAGCCGACCCCAGCGGCCCCGACCTGCCCAGGTCGGAGGTCGATCGCGCCACGTCCTCAGGCGCTGCGGCGCACCGCCGCGCACGGGCCCAGAGGGCTGAGGCGCGCCGCATCGTCAAAGCAGCCCAGTCCACCCTCGAGGGCCACGAGTTCGCCCGCCAGGCCCAGTTGCAGCTCGTCCAGCACCACGGCCACCACCACTTTGCGAAGATGGGTGGCAAGGCAGCCCAGAAGTGGACCCAGTGCAAGCGCTGCAGCAACTGGGAGTGGAACAACAAGCTGGCGGCGCTGAACTTCCAGTGCAGGTGCGGGGCGCACTTCTCCAGGAAGGGCCTCAAGGACTCCGAGGGGGGCCAAGCCCAGGGGCGCGGGGCTGCCGCTGCCACTGGGCTTGCGCAGGCGCTGCAGAGCGTCTCGTCGCACCTGGCCAACATGCAGCTCGCCCCAGAGGTCACCCAGAAACTGTCCCAGGTCATGACGGAGGTCACACAGGCCACCCAGTCGTCCGAGCCCAAGAGCAGGGCCGTCAGATTGTCGGAGGCCGCCAAGGCCTTGGAGGAAGCCTCCCAGCAGTACGATGTCGCCTTCAACAAGCGCGATGCTGCCAAGGCTGAGCTCGCCGAGCTGGAGAAGGATGTGCTGCAGAAGGCCCAGGCTGTGGTGCAGGCCGAGAATGCCGTGGCCGCCATCCAGTCGGAGGGGGCCCCCAAGGCGAACCTGTTGCACGATATCCTGTCCATGCCCCCAGACGCGTTGGCTGCGGAGTCCCTGGCAGACCTCGACAGCGCGCTGAACGTAGACGAGGATGAATTAGACGAGCAGTCAGTGAGGCAGGTGCAAGCGGCGAAGGCCACGATGCTCAAGGAGTTCAAGGACCGCACCGAGGGCTTCGTCACGCAGCTCCGCGCCCACGTGGAGCAGGCAAAGGCCAAAGTGGAGGTGGCGAAGACGGAGGCCACACAGGCCGCCAAGAAGCGCAAGGCCGACGGCGGGGCCACAGCGCAGCCGCCGCCAGCCGCCGCGCCTGCCACAGGCGGCACGCAGCCGCCCGCCCCAGCCGCCGAGCCGCCTGCGGCCCCCACTGACGGGGCTGCCGCGGCTGCTGCGGCCAAGGCGAAGGCAGAGGCAGCGGCGCGCCAGGTCGCCGCACAGAAGGCAGCCAAGGCGAAGGTGCTGGAGCAGGCGAGGGCGCAGGCAGGGGCGACGGCGCCCACGCCTGGCGGCGCCTCCGCCTGACGGCCCAGGGGACCTGGTCGAGCCACGACAGCCGATGCCAACCCTCGGTCGACCAGGCAGATCTTTATCGGCAATATCAACACTTGGGGGAAGTCTGCTAACAAGTTCGTCAGGGAGTCGATGCTCACAGACTCATACGACGCTTACCTGTTGCAGGAAACTCACGTCCGCTATGAGGGCATAGAGACCGCGGAGAAGGAGTTGCGAGGCTGGGGCCTCAAAGCCGCCTTTTCCGCCGCTAGACCCAGTGAGTCTTCGAAGCAAGGCTCGAGGGGAGGAGTAGTCACGGCGATGCGCAGTCGCCACCAGTCGTCGTGCCACCGTGAGCTTGCACAGCCGCGAGCAGCCTCACAAGCCACGGCCACAGCAAACTTTGTAGATAGTTGCCGCACTTTTAGTTTTTGTAACTGGATGCCGACCACGTGGCACCTCAAAGGGATAAGCATTAACCTAGTGAGCCTGTACTTAGAGGGTACGAACAGTTTCAATGGGAACAATGCTGCTACTTTGTCGTCCATGGGGGCGTTCCTTAGGTCTTGTAAGCTCCCCTGGATAGTGGCTGGAGATATGAACGCGTCTCCAGAACAATTTTGGAAGTCAGGCTGGCCACAGAAGCTTGGAGCACAGATTGTCACCATACCAGACGGTTTCACGTGTTTCAAGGCGGATGCCCAGCCATCGCTCATAGATTATGTGCTGATGAGTCACGATGCGATCCCCTATTTTGAGAGCCTCCGTACGGTCTCGGTCCCATGGAAGCCCCACGTCGGTCAGGTCTTAACTATCAAGGCGAGTGTTGTGCCAGCTTTGACACGCAGCCTAGTCATGCCAATTCCTTTCCAGCATCCTGTGCGGAGGGGGACGAAGCCGAACCCCGACAGCAAGAGGCAGCGACACCTGAAGGAAAAGGGTCCCTCGCCTGCTGCCGCCGCCGCCACCGCCGCCCCCTCTCGTGCCTCGATCCTCGCTGACCGTGAGAAAAAGGACCAGGACCTTGCAAACCGACGTTGGGAAGCTCTGGGACCTAAGGGGTGGTCGCACTTTCCTGGTGACTCAAGTCTGGCCCTTGGTAATTCGGCCCAGCAGTCTGAGTCCGTCTCTGAGGTCGGGGTGTCCTCGGGGCCTGCGGGCTGCGCTTCGCCGAGCGTTGCTGGGGGCCCCCGTCTCGTGGGCTTGGATTCCTCAGAGGCGGACCCCTTCGAAGAGCTCGACGGCCTGGATGGCTGGGAGGGCCTGGATGGCCCCGACGAGCCCCCTGACCCACCCGGAGCCGATTTAATGATGGAGACCGAACCGCCAGCCTCACACAACATCGAGGAGGCGGCCGCTCCCAGCCCAGCTGACACCACAGCTGACGTCTCACCGAGAGCTTCCGAGGGCCCCCCGACCGAATCGTTAGAAGACTTGTGGCTGGAGGTCGCCACGGAAGTCTCGCCGCTCGACGAGTCTGTGCCAGACCACATCGCTGGTTGCCCCGCGTTCCAGGTCTGTCCTCAGAGCTCGTTGGCGTTAGGTCGGAAGTATGGGGCCCTCGTGCAGCAAACGGAAGCATTCTATATTAAGGCTTACGGCATTCCAGATGCCGACGCCGCTCGATACACTGGGCGGGCCCACAATTATCAATATAAGACCTCAGTAGTTAGAGAGCGTGGCCTTAGACGCCCACGCTACCACAGTTTCGAGGCTGGCTGGTGGTCGCGTGTAGCCAACACACTTAACTTGTACTGCACTCTCGTTGGGAGAAAGAAAGGGGAGCAGCAGCAGGCCGAGCTTCGTAACATAGCCAGGCGTCTGTCCCAGGAGGGGGTCCCCTCGGCAGGATCGAGGCCTTCGGTGAATGCGCAGTTCCATCGTCACTTGTGGCAGCAGCGATTGTCGGACATCAGCAGTGTTGGTCAGCAGACGCTCCTGGGCATGGCCCTCCAGGCGTCCGACGAGTCCTCCCGCGCCCTCAGGCACGAGCTTGAAAAGGAACTGCGCGAATGGGCCGATTGGCTGGCGGACCCTGTGAGAGCCCCAGTAGGTAAGTTGCACCGTCTCACGAAACCCTCTCCCAGATTTGAAGACGAGTTTGTGCTAGGTAGGTGTAAGGCCACTTCGCCCCTTGAAATAGTAGACGCTAAAACCAAGGTGTTTGAAGGTCTTTGGGCTGCGGAAACAGTTAACAGTACTGACACCGTAGCCGTTTTGGCTCGAATTCGCGACCAGGCACGGGCCGAGCCCTGCCCCTGCTGGTCCCTTCAACACTTTGACCAGGCCCTCCGACTCCAGCCCGACAGGGGCAGGGGCGTTGATCGGCTGGTGGCCTCTGATGTGCGCCGCCTGCCCACGCCTGCACGACAGGCGTTCGTGGATCTGATAAATTCTGTGGAGGCCTTGCAGTGCTGGCCGTGCCAGCTGCTCCAGGCCATCATTATGCTCGAGCCCAAGAAGTCGGGAGACAGGGCCTTGGCCCTCATCGCGTGGCTCATCCGCTGCTGGCAGATGCTGACGCGCCCGCAGGTGGAGGAATGGGTCACCTCGGCATCGCGGCACTGGGACTCAGCCCTGAAAGGGTCATCCTGCTTGCGGGAGGCCCTGGCTAGGGCACTCCAGGATGAGGCAGCTCACGCTCTTGCCATGTCCTCGGCAGTGAGCCTCGCTGACATTGCCAGATTTTACGATTCTCTCGTTCCTGAGTCTGTGGCTTCAGCGTGCGTGAACCTCAACTTCCCCAAGAGGATCCTGGCGCTCGAACTGCAGATACATTGTGTCCCACGAATTTTGAGACAACAAGGAGCCTACGGGCTCGCGTGCCAGGCGGACGTGTCCCTCCTGGCGGGCTCGCGCCACGCTAACAACCTGGCGCGAGCAGTGGTGTACAGGGTGCTGGAGACCGTCACGAGGGCAGAGCCTAGAGCGATGCCAAGGGCCTGGTTCGATGACATCAGCACCTCGGCCTACGGCAGCCCCGCGGCGGTCGAAGGCATCATAGTTACGACGACGATGAAGCTAGCCCACAGCCTGAAGCGAGAAGGCCTGGAGCTCGCAGACAAGAGTGTTATTTTCAGTTCTGGTTGGAAGATGACAAAGCGGATCACATCAAAGTTGAAGAAAGTCGGAGTGGATATTACCCCAGCTGGAGAAGCACGAGATCTTGGCATCGATAGATCTTCAAAAGGAGTTACCCGCAGGGCTACCCACACGACAAGACGGAAGAAAGCATTTTCACGTATGGTGACATTGGGCAGAAAGTTGCGGAAACTGAGGCGAGAAAAGAGATTTCATATGCTTAACCAAGGTGCAATGCCTGCGCTCTTGTACGGGGCAAAGGCACATGGTGAACCCCCTTCAGCAATCACACAGGCGCGCCGACGCTACATGTCAGGGATTGCTAGAGCCAGACCAGGACGATGCACCACGTCATTCCTCAGCTTGGTCGGCAAGGACCCCGCCCTCGAGTTCCCTCGGGCACAGTTGCGCGCGTGGTTCGACCTCTACGCGCACCGCCCTGACCTGAGGAAGATGATCGCCAAAGCCTGGGGCAAGATTTATGCCAGACTCAGGATTGCCCCAAAGAAGCATCGTTGGCGACAGAGGCGTGGAGTCATTGGTTCCCTGATCCTGACCTTGTGGGAGGCCAACTGGGACCCCAAGCTGGCCACACGCTGGAGAGACCCTCGTGGTGACGATTGGGAAATGGCGGAGGACGCAGCTGAAAAAGACCCCTCCACCATCATCGATGCCATCGTCGGGGACATCGAGAAGGCCTTGTGGCAGAAGGCGGCAGCACACCACAACGGCAAGGGCATGGAGGACGGAGTCGACACCAGCGACGCGCGGCGGCACCTGGCCAGGCTGAGGAAGCAGGACAGGCTCCCCGAGGCCAACGCCCTGCTCACCGCCATGACGGCGGGCACCTGGACGCCTGCACGCAGGTTCGACCTCTACGGCGACCTCGCTGGCACGGGCAACTGCAGCTGCGGTGTTAGAGCTGACGACCTCCACCGCATATGGGGACAGTGCTCGGACAGGGTGAACCACCCTGCCTTTGAGAAGTCAGAGCACCTGGTCACCATGGCGCTGGCGGGTGCGGAGCACACTCCGTGCTTCTGGCTGCGGGGCTTGCCACCAACCTCGTGGACGACGCCGCCGCCGTGCGAGACGCCCTACACGGAGGAGAGGTTCGGCGAGCTGGACAGGGCCCCCATCGAGGCCCCCTGGGGCCGGCCCCTCATCACCTGCGGAGACGGCAGCGGCGGCGACGAGTCGGACGACGCCCGCTACCGCAGGTGCGGCTGGGGATGGGTGGCCTTGGATGTCTCTTCCCCCGACCTTCCGAGTGTCAGAGGAGGTGCATTCGCCCCGCTCGCTGGTCACAGACAAACAAATAATCGTGCTGAGTTCTCGGCATTCGTTTCTGCGATGTTGAACACAAGAGGTCAGTTGCACTATTGGACGGATTCAGAAGTCTTGTATAAGGGATGGATGAAAGGCCGCCACACCCGCCCAGCCAGTTGGAGCTCGATGGGAGATCTGTGGACAGAAATAGGAGCGGCCTTGAATGACAGAGGAGACAGCAGGGTGGAAGTCTTCTGGATGAACAGTCACCTCAGCCTACAAGAGAGCATGAGAAAAGGAGTACCATTCTATGCCTGGTGTGGTAATGAAGCGGCAGATGAGCTTGCGAGAAAAGGAGCTGAGCAACACCAGATTTCACCTGCTCGCCTTTCGTGCTATAAGTGGGCTGTCGCCGTCTCCGCTTTAGTTCGTGGCAGGATAATTCGTGCTACTTTAAACGCGTTTGAGCATGAAAACAGAGAGCCCTCGGCCAGGACTGTTCGGAGAATCGAGAAACGTTCTCGTCCCGACGCCCTCCAGGCCGCCCAGCTGAAGTCGTCTCACACTCTCTGTAACATGCAGGCGCGGTGGTGTTGTTTAGATTGTCGCACGTCGGTCAGTAAATTAGCATGTAAACAAGTCATGAGTGAATGGATTTCCCGAGAGTGCCCAGGCCCGCCTTCCAACCAGCCGCGCCCCACCCAGCTCGCCCTGGGGACCAGGAGCGGCCATGCATCCCACGAGCTCGCCTTCCACGAGCCGTACTGGATCTGCATAAGGTGCGGGTGTCGGGCTTTGGAGGGCAGGGGACACCTCAGAGGCCTCTCGGAAGTTTGCTCACCTCCTTCGAAAATGGGGAGTTGGGTTATGTCTCGCGTGTTTCAAGGGAGGCCACTCAAATGAAGTCCTCCTGAGAGCCCCACTAATCCAGACACCGTCTGATCGGGAAAGCCCTTGGAAAGTCCTCCTCCTCCTCCTCCTCCTCCTCCTCCTCGCGAGCCTCTTCCTGGTCTCGCTCATCCTCCTCCACAGCGCTTCGTCCTCCTCCTCCTCCTCATCCTCCCCTCCACAGCGCTTCCTCCTCCTCCTCCTCCTTCTCCTCCTCCTCCTCCTCTTCCTTGCTCCTCCTCCTCCTCCACAGCGCTTCGTCCTACTGGCCCCGCTTATTCTTTTTTGTTCTTCTTCTCCCGCCCCTCCTTTGACGTTGGACCTACTCGAGGCGGCAGCCTGGAACGTGCCTGCGCCCGCCCTTCCTCCCTCTTCTCCTCCGTTTTTTTTTGTGTCCGAAGAAGAGAAGGTCGGGGGTGGACGGAACCCCCACCCTGACATGCCGATTCGTAGAATCTCCGTTTTCGGTTCTCGAGAGGGCGCCGCCGCCGTCATTTTCTAGGCTTGCGTCCGCCAGGTTTGGGCCCGAGGGGCTGTCCATCCCCGAAAAAAGGCCATAGGCATAAACTTTTGGCGCTCCGCGCGGGTTTCTTGGATCCGCGCTGCCCCCCCCCCCCGGCGGCGCCTGCGCGCCAGGGAGAGGTGTCCAGCGCGGATCCGAGAATTCCGCGCGGAGCGCCAAACGGTTATGCTTTTGACGTTGTTTGTTTCTTCTTTTATTTTCCTCCCATGCCCGCACAGTAAGGGATGAGCAACTTTCCAAGGCTGCCCTTTGCATCATTCCCCTTCGTCCCATCACCAAGGGCGCCCTCGAGGGCGCGAAGTTATTCGCGCTTCGCGCTTCGCGAGTCGGCTCCGTTCCTCCTCATCCTCCTCTTCTCCCCTGGGAGGCGGCGCGAGAGCGCGAAGTTATTCGCACTTCGCGCTTCGCGCAGCGCGAAGCGCGAAGTTGGGAGCCCTTGCATCACTGGCCGCCGTCGCTGGCCGCGCTCCGCTCGCAAAGAGTCTGCAAGGGCCTTCGACGGCCCTTGCAGCCTCAACGCGCGTCCTCCTTCTACTGGTTGGCTACTTCTTCCTCGGACGCCTCCCTCCTATTTCCTCCGCCTCCCTCCTCCCTTCTCCCACATCCGACCTGCCCCCCTCCCCCTCCTGCTTCTCCAGCCCCTTATCATGGTTTCTCGCCCTTTCACTTTTGCTGATGATGGTCCGACTGCCTGCGGCCAGCCCGCCGGCGTGCCAGCGCAGCAGACAACTACGTGCAGGATGCTTGAACCGAGCTCTTCTTGAAAGGATCGGTAAAAACAATCCGGGGCAGCGGGGAAACAGCACGGTGATGTCGAGCACAACGTTGCCGCAGTCTTGCATATTCATTGCCTTGCCTGTTGAGGGGTGGTTCTTGTAGACTTCTGGGCCCTCTCGGAGGCCTCTTGGAGGCCTCTGGGAGGCCTGTTGGGTGTCTTGGAGCCGTTTTGGCGTCATCTTTGGCGCGACATCTCTATATCGAGTTTTCCATGGTAGTCACGCTGGTGCCGTCTGGACGGGTCCTGGGGCCATCCTCAAACCTTCTGGGGGCGGTCTGGGCCGTCTGGGGGGCTCTTCTGGGGCCTGTGTTGGGTGCTGGGGCAGCTCCCCGATGAATATTCCACGCAGGTGCCAGAACGGAGCTTGCGTTGGTGAATGTTTCCTGACCTTACTGCGGGCACATGTTTTGCGATTGCGTCGCTGTGCCATGCCTTTGTTGTTTCTGGCCCTGCCCCTCTTTGAGCCTTGCACAGGACGCACTCGACGGGCAGATCGACGAGATGAAGATCGCGAAGGGCGAGAAGGCATGGGCACTGCAAGTTATTGTGCCACTTCTTGCCACTTTTGTAGCAGGCTGGGAGCCGTGACTTATGTGAAATGTTCCGCCACAGTTCTGCTCCTGGCCCCGTGCCACCCCAAGTAACTCGTCCGCACAGTGTTCCAGCAATTCTGGAGGGGGCTCCGACGCTCAGTGTGGGCTCCGACCTGGGCGCAGGCAAGGCTCGGCCGACATCTGGCGCACCTCTTTTCGCGGTCGAGGGTGGGCTTCTCGGGTGCGGGATCGGGTCTGGGCCATCCCTCGGCTGCGATTCGCCTGTTCGCCCCGCACTGCTATCTTGGCATCGCGCACGTGTGCATTTTTCCTTCGGCGAGGACGATCGAGGAGCATCCTTGATCATTTAGCGAAACAAACACGCAGGAAATTGAAAAAAGCACAGGGAATTGACGTCCGAGCGATGGCCAGTCTAGCGAACCTATTTTCGCGGTCGAGGGTGGGCTTCTCGGGTGCCAAGGTCGGGTCTCGGCCATCCCTCGGCTGTGATTCGCCTGTTCGCCCCGCACTGCTATGTGCCATCTGTCTCCTCGTGCTTCGGTCGACGGCTCCAGGCCGCCACCACCGCCGCCTCCCAGTCGAGCGCCCGAGGTTCTTGGCACCCCCGTGCCGCTGCCCTCTTCCATTCGCCAGCGCGCTGCGATCGCCTGCCGTGGTACAGCTTTCACTCGGGCACGTCCCTCGACAGGGGGAGCATTCAGAAAGAGTGAGAAAAGTAGTCGGGGGACGATTTCTTGATTATTTGTTTTAGCTATGTTTGAACATGTTTTGGCTATTTTTTATTGTTCGTCCAAAATCCGCCTGTATGGGGACATGCCCGACCTAAGTGTAGCCGCAGCATTTGCAGCGTGGGCCCCCGATCTGAGGATCTGTCCGTCAGGCGTGCGGGTCTGCCTACCCGCCAGCGTACCACACTCAGGCGCGTGGCCGCTCCCTCATCCACTGAGCGCACGGCCTCCAGCACATCGCTGCGGAGCAACGGGGCCACGCCAGGGAGTGCCGGGACCTGGCGCAGAGACTGTGTCTTGCTACAGTGCAAATTGGCGAATTGGCGTTAAGGATGGGCCCCTTTCGCAAGGGCACCGTGCATCCTTCGGTTCTGGGCATCCGTAGCTCGTTTTCGGCTTCTCTGGCCCAAGGGTACTTTTGCGGGCGGGCGTATCCCTGGTTTTCCGCGCGTTCCAAGGTCTTGCATCCTTCCATTCCGTCCTCATGATTGGCCTTGATTGTACAGGCTGCTGGAAGTAGCAAAACGATCTGCAAGGGAGCAGAAATAGCAGGACACTGTTCAGGCCCAGAATCGCGCGGACGGCGCTTGGACAAATACGTGTGCGAAACCACCCACAGGCCCAACGATAACATATTTGTTTTGTTTTTGGCGCGTGGGCCCAGAGGAGGAGGCTGAGGAGGATTTAGGGAAGGAAGGACGGATAGGAGGAGGATGATGAGGAAGAGTATGAACAGACATGAACAAGAGTTGAAGCGAGTGTTGTCGCGGAAGTCAAGAGGACGAGTTTGTTCTCGCGACGTTCATCGCGCACCTCGATTCAATCGTCAACAGGATACTTCAGCAGTGCCGCATCGGGTCTACCACTTATACGGCGCCCTAGTCCAATCTGGACGCTTCACAGACGCCCTAGTCCAGTCTACCTCCCATGACGCATCGCCAATCTGCGCCCAACCAGACGCTTCAGCACATAACAGCATTTAAGGCAGTCAGTCGCGTGACGCCCCACAGTATGCAGGCACCACATGGCGGGGGGGGGAAACACCGCATGTGCATTGTGAGTGTGTTTCAAGAGGTTTACGCAATTCCGCCGACCTTCAGATGAGGCGGGGAGTCCACAGTTGAAGCGTCGTGTGTTTCTTTGGCACTATCTGTTGTGGGCGACTTGGGAGCTGTTTGTCGGCCCGGAGGAGCCTCTTGGAGCCAGTTTTGAAGCGTCTTGGGGCCCCCCGTTGTGGGGCTTCTTTTGGGCCCCCTTTGGGCCCTCTCGTGGCTTATTGAGGCCTCTTTAGGCCGCCTTGGGGTTCATTTCTCGAAATCCCTTACCAATCGACCCCCCCCCTAAAAAACCGACCCCCCCCTTCAAAGGCAACCTCATGTTCCGGACCCTTGTGATTTCGAGTAGGGCCTTTGAGGTCCTCGTGGCGGAAAGACGGGATAATTATTCGGTTCGCGTTCTCTTTCTTTGCCTCTCTTGGGGTCATTTTGGGGCGATGTTTGGCAGTCTTTGACCCCTCTTTGGGTCGTCTTGGAACCCTCTTTGGCTGTCCTGGAGCCCTCGTGGGGCTCTCGTATGGGCCTCTTGGGCAGTTTGGGGGCGGTCTACGGGGCCTCTGAGGCCATCTTAGAGCGTCGGAAGCTCGAGAAGAGGATCACCCCATAATCAATGAAAGAACGAAACAAAACAATCGATGTTTGCTTTTCGGGGCCCTCTTGGAGAGGCTCTTGGGGCGTCTCGAAGGCGTCTTGGGGCGTCTTGTAGCAATCGTAAGCGATTTGGGCCAATCGTTCCGCGATTCGGGACCGTCTTGGAGCGTCTTTGAGGCCACGGAAGGCAGATTTGGAAGCCCCTGAGTCGCCGGGGGGGCGTTGGCGAGCCCAGATACGCTCCCCCCTCGAATCGGATTTCAGACCCTTTGGGACGGGGAAATAGGGAGGGGGTCAGCTCGGCAGGTTCTTGATTCGCGTGATTCTTGTGCAGACATTTTGTTGTGGCGTCGACTCGGGTCCAAGACGGGTCGGGGCAGCCGAGCGAGGCTGCGGGGCCAAAGCCGTGGGCGGGGGAGCACGCTCAGACCGTGAAGGGCTTGCGCGTGCGTGCCAGAGCACAGGCTTGCACGGGTAGCAAGCGGGAGCGGTGAAGCGGCCAACGGACCAGGGTGCGGCAAGCACTGGATATGCCAGGGGCCTCGCATGTTTCTCCAGACATGCGACGGATTTGTGGCTTTTGTGTAACATGGGGTCCCTGGAAGCCCCACCTGCGTTGCCCAGGGCTGGCTTCTCATCCTGAGTCGTTCTTTGGCGGTCCTGCGGCCTGGCGAGGGCCCTGGAGGACGAACACGGCCACTAGTCGCGCGTCGCCATTTTTTGTTCACGGCGCAAGCACGTCGTGGGTGAAACACACGCTCGTATCCGCGACCTCGCGGGCCGGGTCCCTGGGCCGCGACCCCGCGGATACAGAGCGTTTTTTCGCGAACGCCCTGCGCGGAACGCATCCGTGCGACCGCGTATCCGCGGGGTCGCGCCCTGGAATCCAGACCGCGACGGCGCGCATACGTGTTGGTGCGCCGCTCGTGAGCATGCCTGGGTCCGCACGCGTTGGAGCCTCCGGGCGGTCGAGGTTCGATGCAGGCCGTCTCTGCCGCTGGCCGCCTGCCCTGGGAGCACAGGCGGGCACCATCGAGTCCACGAGGTCGGAGCGCAGCCTCAAGAAGGACGAGCTCGACGTCATCATGGAGCCCTTGCTCGCCTAAAGCTACCCAGGCATGCTCGCGTCGGAAAAACATGCGGTGGGATGCTTCTGGGCGTTTTCGGCCTCCAGGCCCTCCACGGGCCCTCCACCGTCAGACAGCAATCCCGGCATGGAAAACCGACCTCGGGGGAAGGGTCGAGCCCTCCGGGGACCCCGCATCGAGAAGGTCCTGACATCGCATGTCCGGGTCTCTGCATCATGACACACATCCCGCATGCTCGTACACCTTATGCGATGCTTAAGAAAACCTAAGTTTTCGGCCAGAGTCTCGATTATTCTTAACGTTTCAATGTAAATCCCAAGATTTTGATAGAAGCTCTGGGTTTTATTCAATTTCTGAGACTATGAATTTCTTAACCCATGATTTCTTAAGCATTTCGCAGGGTGTACACTCTGGGAGCGACTGGATTCTCAGACCCCGATGGTTGCCCTCGTTGTTGCCGTGCCGAGGCCAACTCCTGGAGGTCCGCGCGGATTTCGTGGGTTGGCGCTGGTCGCAGGCCTAGAGGTTGACACCAACAGCAAGATCAGCGGTGTGCCTCCACCGAGGGAAGACGATCCCGATCTCGGTGATGGTGGTCATATTCTGGCTTCCAAGGGGACCGAAACAGTACCACCAGCACCGACATCCAGGATCATCTGCCCCCTGTGGAGGCACACCCCCTGTGCTGGTGTTGGTGCTCATCCCCAGGCCTCCAAGTTGGGTCCCCCCTCCCCGTCCCAGGGTGACGGCGACGACGCCCGGCGCTGGCGCACGACGACGACGACGACGACGACGACGACGACGACGACGACGACGACGACGACGACGACGACGACGACGACGACGACGACGAGGCGACGACGTGCCCCGCCCGACTTGGTCCGTCCCCGGCGCAGGGAGCGCGCCGGGGGCGGCGCGAGGGGCGCCGCGCGGGGAGGCCCGGCGCCGATGCCTCGGCGGAGCCCCGCGCGGACCTCCCAGAGCCCCTCCAGCAGCACCGCGCGCCGAGGCCCCCGCGTGGCAGCCCAGACGCTGGACAGTCAACGCGCATATCAGGAGGGGAAAAAACACACAGACACAATTAATCGTCCACTCCCAGGAAAATATTGGAAAATATGGGAAGTGGGGGGAAGACATAAACCCAGAAAATATAGGAAAATATGGGGGATATTTTTATTTGTGTGTATTTATTTGTGTGTCCCAGTTCCCCTTCATCAACGCGCATAGGAAGGACAGACCACTTTTTCAAGGGTGCCCTTGGGCACTTGCCTGCATCGGCCTCGGCGGCCCGCCCCTGGCAGTTTTCGCAGGCCAGGGTACTTCCACCTCGGCCTCCCAAGGGCCTCGCGTCCTTGCCGCGCGTCCTTACGATACGATTTCACCGTACTCGGGACCAGCTTGGGCTCAGGAGGGGCTCGCGAGTGCTCGGGCCGTTCCTTCGATGTGTGTGCGTGTGTGTGTGTGTGTGCGTGTGTGTGTGTGTGTGTGTGTGTGTGTGTGTGTGTGTGTGTGTGTGTGCGTGCGTGTGTGTGTGTGTGTGTGCGTGTGTGTGTGTGTGTGTGTGCGTGTGTGTGTGTGTGTGTGCGTGTGCGAGTGCGCGTGTGCGCGTGCGTGTGTGTGTGTGTGTGTGTGTGTGTGTGTGTGTGCGTGTGTGTGTGTGTGTGTGTGTGTGTGTGTGTGTGTGTGTCGTGCTGTACTCTGCACCCTCCGGCCGCCTGAGGCCCCGCCCGCCCGCGCCCTGTCTCCTTAATTAGGGCTTCGCGCGCCCCGCCTAGCTCTTAACCGGAAAGGGGCCCGCTCCCGACCCGCCGGCCAAAAAAGTGTGTGTGTCGTGGGGCCCGGTTGTGGCCAGGGCCCGCCGCGGCCTTCTTACTAGGGGGACGCAAAGCGGCATAAGCACGAAAACTCGGAGGTCCGCGCGGATTTCTCGGATCGGCGCTGGGCCTCCCTCCCTGGCGTGCGGAGCGCGCCAGGGGCGGCGCCGGAGGCGCCGCCGGGGGGCCCCAGCGCCGATCCGAGAAATCCGCGCGGACCTCCGAGTTTTTATGCTTATGCCATTTTTTGTTCCCCTAGTTGTGGCCAGGGCCCGGCGTGGCCTTTTTACGAGTCCCTCGTGTTGGCACGATGGTCAGCTCTCGTGGCCCCAGCACCCTGCAGCGAGCCCTCTCCTGGGCTGCGACCGTGCCGCGCGATCGCCACTCGCCGCGGCCCCAGCAACAGCTGGGGCGTTCCACAAAGGGCCGTGCCTTCGAGGATAGAAGGAGTTGCTATCTCCTCCTCGGCGGAGGGCGGCGGAAGGCTGGCGGAAGCAAAACGAGGCCGCCTCCGCGGGCGGAAGCCCGCGGAAGGCCGGCGGAGAAGGTGGCGGAGGTGAAACGTGTGCCCCCAAGAGACAGATGATCCCAGTGCGACCCTACCTAGGAGTTGGAGCCTCTAGGAAAGCAACATTAGTAGGAGCGGTAAGCGCCGTCCTCCTCCTTCTCCTCATCGTCGTAGTTGTAGCAGCAGCAGCAGCAGCAGCAGCAGCAGCAGCAGCAGCAGCAGTAGTAGTAGTAGTAGTAGTAGTAGTAGTAGTAGTAGTAGTAGTAGTAGTAGTAACCGCATGCCGATGATAATAAGGGGACCCCCCCCCTTCAGTGTTTAGAGTTGATTATCGTCGCCCTATACAAAATTCAAATTGGGCGGCGAGCGCTGAGGCCGAACTTCATTATCACCTCGAAACGCTATGTTGAGATAGCAGCATCAAGCGATGTTGCTATCCCCGCGCGCGCCTGAACTTGTTTATCTCTGGGGTTGATTATCCATGGAAAGGGGACCACATGAGCTACCCTACATGAGCACTTAAAACAACAATTTTCATAAAGCGTTTGTAAATTAAAATTGATAGATTTGGAACTTTCCATTTTCCGTTCTTCTTATCTTATTCTTCTTCTCTTCTTCTTCTCTTCTTATTATTATTCTATTTTCCTCTTCTTCTTTTATATTTCTATCTGTCCTCACGCTCGCCTGAACTTTTTTATCTCTGGGGTTGATTATCCATGGAAGATGAAGCACATGAGCTACCCTACACGAGCACTTAAAAAAAACAATGTTCATAAAGCGCTTGTAAATTAAAATTGATAGATTTGGAACTTTGGATGTTTCCTTTCTTCGTCCTCTTCTTATGCTCCTCTTCTTCTTCTTTCTTATTATTATTCTACTGTATTCTTCTTCTTTTATAGTTCTCTCTGTCCCCACGCTCGCCTGAACTTTTTTATCTCTGGGGTTGATGATTGAGGCACATGAGCTACCCTACACGAGCACTTACAAAAAAACAATGTTCATAAAGCGCTTGTAAATGAAATCTAATAGATTTGAAACTCGAGATTTTTTCTTCTCTTCGTCCTGCTCCTCCTCCTATCATTTCTTTTATTTTATTATTTATTCTTTTTATTTTTCTTTTTTATATATAGCTTCCTCCATTCCAGCGAGATAAGCCATTGTTGAGGATATTTCTATGAAAACTAAACGCCACGGATGTCTCAAAACGTGCTCGGCTTGGTCTCCTCTTGATCATCTCTTACTTCGAGATTATGCTGAGGTCTGCTGGGCTACTTTTATTATCTCTCCCTGAACCCCGAACTTTATTATCCCCTAGTGTTTATGCTCACGGGCATGAGGTTAGTAGTAGTAGCAGTAGTAGTAGTAGTAGTAGGAGGAGGAGTAGGAGGAGTAGGAGGAGTAGGAGTAGGAGGGAGTAGGAGTAGGAGTAGGAGTAGGAGTAGGAGTAGGAGTAGGAGTAGTAGTAGTAGTAGTAGTAGCAGCAGTAGCAGTGGCAGTAGCAGTAGCAGTAGCCGTAGCAGTAGCAGTAGCAGTAGCAGTAGCAGTAGCAGTAGCAGTAGCAGTAGCAGTAGCAGTAGTAGTAGTAGTAGTAGTAGTAGTAGTAGTAGTCGTAGTCGTAGTCGTAGTAGTCGTAGTCGTAGTAGTAGTAGTAGTAGTAGTAGTAGTCGTAGTAGTAGTAGTAGTAGTAGTAGTCGTCGTAGTCGTCGTAGTCGTAGTCGTAGTCGTAGTCGTAGTCGTCGTAGTCGTAGTCGTAGTCGTAGTCGTAGTCGTAGTCGTAGTAGTAGTAGTAAGTAGTAGTAGTAGTAGTAGTAGTAGTAGTAGTAGTAGTAGTAGTAGTAGTAGTAGTAGTAGTAGTAGTAGTAGTAGTAGTCGTAGTAGTAGTAGTAGTAGTAGTAGTAGTAGTAGTAGTAGTAGTAGTAGTAGTAGTAGTAGTAGTAGTAGTAGTAGTAGTAGTAGTAGTAGTAGTAGTAGTAGTAGTAGTAGTAGTAGTAGTAGTAGTAGTAGTAGTAGTAGTAGTAGTAGTAGTAGTAGTAGTAGTAGTAGTAGTAGTAGTAACACCAGAACCGCCGACACCACGCCGTAAGTGAAGCAGCAGCAGAAGCAGGCAGCACGTCGCCGAGGCAACAGCAAAGCAAGCAGGCACGGATATGAGGGCGGGGCACTGGGGAGTTCTTTACATCTACTTCTATATCTACACCTACATCTACATCGACACCTACACGTACATCTAGACCTACATCTACATCTACACCTACAGCTACATCTACATCTACACCTGCATCCACATCTACATCTACATCAACTGCGAGACTCACATATACATCTACATCTACACCTACATCTACACCCCTATCTACATCTACATCTACATCGGTATCGACATCTACACCTACACCTACACCTACATCCACATCTACACCTACACCTACATCTACATCTACATCCACACTTTCGCATTGGTGTTGCTTTTGCTGTGCATTGCCTTTGCTTTTGCTCTTGCCGTTGCTGTTGCCTTTGCCTTTGCTGTTGCTGTTGCTGTTGCTTGTGCTTTGCTTTTGTTTTTGCTTTGCTGCGCTATGCTATGCGCTTGCTGCTTTGTGGGGTGTAGCAGCAGCAATAGTGGATGCTGTGCTGCGCTATGCTATGCTATGCTATGCTGTGTTATGATATGCTGCGTTGCGCTGTGCTGTGCTGTGCTGCGCTATGCTATGCTATGCTATGCTGCGCTATGCTATGCTATGCTGGGCTATGATATGCTGTGCTGCGCTATGCTATGCTACGCTATACTATGCTATGCCGTGCTCTGCTATGCTAAAGCTCAGCGAAGCTAAGATGAATGTCAGCTAAGCTAAGATAAACCTGAGCTAAGATGAAGCTAAGCTAAGCTAAGATGAAATACGCTAAGCTGAGATGAGATAAGCAACGCTGAAGCTAAGGGGACGTAGCTGGGGGAACCGCGGGGCGGATCCTGGGGGAACCGCCCGGGGCGAGCCCCACTGCCCGGCCCCTTTAAGCTCAGAGGGTAAGAACCCTTCTAGGCAGAGCCTGGGTAGGGAATGAAAACGCTCTTGGGTCCAGGGTTGCTCAGGAGGGGAAAAAAACACACAGACACAATTAATCGTCGACTCCCAGGAAATATGGGAAAATATGGGAAGTGGGGGGGAAACAGAAACCCAGAACATATAGGAAAATATGGTACATCTTTTTATTTGTGTGTATTTATTTGTGTGTCCTGGGGCCCCTTCACTAGGTAGGGAGTGAAAACGCTCTTGGGTCCAGGGTTGCCGAAGTCCGCCAACTGTGCCCCTCGAAGGGAGCAGCCCTCTGCGAAGTCCTGAGCTGGCTGGCCCCCCCAGTGGTCGGACACAGGGGCTGGCCGGCGCAGGGCCTCGCGGGAGGGTGGGCCGCTGAGGGGGTGCAGCCAAGACGCCGCAAGAAGGGCCGCTGTGGGTTCGGGCGGAGGAGGAGGAGGAGGAGGAGGAGGAGGAGGAGGAGCAGGAGCAGGAGGAGGAGGAGAAGGAGGAGGAGGAGGAGGAGGAGGAGCAGGAGCAGGAGGAGGAGGAGGAGGATAATGAGGAGGAGGAGGAGGAGGAGGAGGAGGAGGAGGAGGAGGAGGGGGCGGTGCCGACGCGAGGCGTTCCCGGCGCCGACGCGGCGGGAAGGGCACTCGCTGCTCCTTGGGCCCGTCCGCGGCTGTTCCTCCATCGCTCCTCCTGCACCTAAGGCGGCTCTCGAGGCCTCCCAGATGGGGTCGGAGTAGATGGGGTCGGAGGATCGCGCCGCATCCCCGATGCATCGGCGATGCGGCTCGATGTGGAACCCGAAATTCTCCGCGCCGGTGTCGGCGATGCATCGCCGGCGTCGCCGATGCATCATCGATGCATCGTCGATGCATCGGCGATGCGGCCCGATCCTCCGACCCCATCCACTCGCACCCCATCTAGGAGGCCTCGTGCACTCAAGGCGCTTCTGGGCCCCAGAGGGGGGGCTTCGTTCCTTACCTAGCGTTCCTTCTGGTAGCACCTCGACTGCATGTGCTCTTCGGCCGCGGCGCCGACAGTGGCGCGGCGCGGTCGAGGAGCAGAGGGGGGTCGCTGCAGCGGTCCGCAGGATAGCAGGGGGCGTGAAGAGGAGTCGGACGGGGCTGGCAGCTCGTTCCCGGCCGGACGCCGGAGGCGCCTGGCTGTGCGAAAGCTTCCGATCCGGTCGGTCCGATCGATCCGATTCGAGCCGATCCGATCCGATCCGATTCGAGATTCCATTCGATCCGATCCATCCAGATCTTGGAAGAGGACAGATCCGTTCCAGAGCGTTCCGGAACGCTCTCTCAGAGCGCTCCAGAACGCGAGAGGGCCTTCAGCGCCCGAGACGTCCTCCAGAGCCGCCGGCTCTCAGGGATTCTCGATTTCAGGGGTGGATCTAAACGGTGTCTTGGCGATTTCGTGGGCCGTTGTTGCTTCGATATCGTTCTGCAGCAAAGGCGGGTGGAAGACAAAACGAGGGACAACGAGAACAAAACGAAAACGGAACATACTGCTCAGGTCGAGCCCTGCTCGATGAAATTCTACTCGATGTTATCCTCGTTCTGGCTTCGTCCTCCGGAGGGCGGCCGCAGTGGGCGTCGGCCGCGCGGCCGCGCTTGCGGCACAGCCCTCGGCCGACCACCTTCTGGGCGTGGGCCGCACCGTGTGGCGAGTCCGTGGGGGTCCAGGGCGCTTCCGCTGTTGCAGTCCTGCCGTCTGCTTCCTCACTGTCAGTTGTTGCGGAGCGCGCGAGGGGGGGAAGCCGAAAAGCGTCCCGGCTAGCGTCCCCGAATCGCGTTGTCGGAATTCCCGGGGGGGTCGTGGGACACGTGCAGATACACGGTCTTCGCGTCCCCGAGGCCATCATTTCTAGTAGTGGACGCCATACAGGCCTCGGAACAAATTAGCGAACACTCGTGATGCCACACTCATCTGTCAACGGCTCCCCCCCCCAATGTTCAAAGTTGGCGGTGGGTCTGATGAGATGCACTTCGACCGCAGTCTCCCCCGCGCGTGCCAACATTGAGGTTGGGGGGGGGGGTGTTCAGTAATTGTTTCCCTCTGCCGTGTTCGCGTCCCCGAGGCCATGAACTTTCGTAGAGTGTACGAAATCCGCGTCCCCGCAGCCATAATTCTCCGTCAAGTACTCAATACTCGCGTCCCTGAAGCCATAAGCCTTTGTACAGTACGCAGTAGACGCGCCCCCGAAACCATACAACTCATGATATTACAAAACATTCGCGCCCCCGAAACCGTAAGCCTTAGACAATTATAAGGTTCGCGTCCCCAGGGCCAAACCTTGGTAAATTACATCGTGCTTGCGTCCCCGAGGCCACGCACTTTCTCGCAAATTACATCATATTCGCGTCCCCGAGAGCCATACACCTTCGTAAACTAAACAATATTTGCGTCCCCGAGGCCATACACTGTTATAAATCAATAATAGTTGCGTTCCCGAGGCCACAAACCTTCGCAACTTACCATATATCCGCGTACCCGAAGCCATAAACCATTGCAACTTGCTTAATATTCGCGCCACCGAAACCATTAACCTTCGTAAATTAATATTGGACCTCGCGTGAAGTCCCGACATTGCTTCACGTCAGCGTCCAGACATTCCAACACAGCTCCGGCAAGTCTCATTCTAAGAGGGCGGCATGGGGCAGAGGCCCTTCCGGATACCCGAAGACAGTCCAAAAATAGTCGGGGGACGATTTTTATTATATTTTTTTGGAGGGGGGGGGGTAATTTCATTTTCCTCAAAAAATCCGCCTCTAGGAGGACATGCCCGACCTAGGTCCAGGGCCTGGGCCGCCCACGACCCGCTTCGGTGCGACGCGACTCGCCGGCCAGGGCCGCGACTCGGCTCGATTCGCCGACCCAGGGCCGTCCAGAGCCGGGCGCCGCGATACGACCTGGATTCGACTCGGGGCGGTTCGCTGGCGGTGCGGCCCGCTGCCGATCCGGTCCGGCTTGGCGACTTGGCGCTTCGAGCCGGCGCAGGCCTGCCAGGGTGACCGCACGGTTTTGGGGGACTCGGGTCGTTCTCCGGGGACGTCCCCGGGCAACGGGTGACCGCACGGTTTGGGATTTGGGTCGTTCTCTGGGGTGGGGCCGAGGCCCTTAATTACGGATACCCGAAGATAGTCCAAAAATAGTCGGGGTACGATTTTTATGGTATTTTTTTTGAAGGGGGGGGGGTAATCTTATTTTCCTCCAAAATCCGCGTGGGATTTGGGTCGTTCTCTGGCGTCGTCCCCAGGCAACGGGCGATCGCGCGGTGCTCGGAACTCGGGCTGCTCTCCGAGGACGTGCTCGGGCACTCGGGGCTTCCGGGGTCTCAGAGCCGCGCGGCGGCGGACCGTGCGGTGGGGTCTTTGTCAGGAGGGGAAGAAACACACAGACACAAATAATCGTCGACTCCCCCAAAAAATATATATAGGAAAATATGGGCAGTGGGGGGGAAGACAGAAGCCCAGAACACATGAGAAAAGATTGGGAATCTTTTTATCTGTGTGTATTTGCTTGTGTGTCCCAGGGCCCCTTCACTTTGGGGGGGCTGCCGAGGCCCCCGCGCGGTGCGTTGCCGCACCGTGTCGGTGCCGTCGTGCCGGCTCCACGGCGCGAGCACGTGCTGCGCGGCACGGTGCGCCTCGTCGGCGACCTGGCCGCCGTTCCCGTCGGCGCCCCGGGGCGCCGCGGTGGCGCCCCGGGAGCCGGGGCGTCTGCCGCGCGCGCGCGTCCCGCCGCCAGGAGAAGGTGAAGGCCGTGCAGCCCGGCTGCGACTTCTTCCAGGTCGCCGAGGGGGGGGGGGCACCTCACCACCCACCAAACCACCCCAACCCAACCCGAAGGTCTCGATTTGCCCTCCATTTCCAGTTGGGGGGGGTCGGGGAACATCGAGAAAACACATATGGAACCCGTACCCCCCCCACCCCGAAATTCGGGTCTTCGGGTTGGGTTGGGGTGGTCTGGTAGGTAGTCAGCACCGGGCAGAGAGCGAGGGGGGGACGGCGGGCAGCTAGGCATCCGGGATAGGTGGCGCGTTCCCAGGAAGCACGGGGGGGCCAGTTCGGGCAAGGGTGAGTTGCTGGGCTTCGGGAGGGGGGCCTCACAGTCACGGCTTGACTTATGAAACCGCTGTGAGCTACAGGGCAAGTCCCTTCTTGAGTAGTGTTTTAAGTGTTTTTGGCCATTCTCCAAAACTGCTGCATTTTCAGCAGCTTGACGCAGCGCGGGAGACTGGTGCGTGGGGGCCCCGGGAGTTGGTGCGCGTGGGGCCCAGGATGGGGGCCGGGGAGCGAGTTTCGAGCTGCCGTTGTCTCGGTTCGCCGTGCTCCGAGGAAGAACGGGCCTCGCCTTCGAGGAATGCGGAAGTTGACGTCTCTTCCTCGGGCGGAAGCAAGACAGCAAGATGCGTTGCGTTGCGCCCGATCGAACAAGTCGGCCCTGTGCAGAGCTCGGGAGAAAGAACAAACATGCGCCGTCAGAGTGCGGCCGGCCTCTGGCACGATGCGGCCGGCTGTTGTTCAGCGCCGCACATGCAGTAGGGGACCATTCGTGCAAGACAGCAAGTTGGATGCGTTTTTTGGATCGCGGGTCTCGGGGATCCCCCGTACGGCGTGTCGAGTGGCTGCGTTCGCGGACTCTCCAGGATGTCCCAAGGACTGTTCGTGCTGCGCCTCTTTGCCTCTCTCCTAGGGTGTGGCGCACCAAAACCACCTCCGCCACCGCCAGGGAGAGGGCTGCCCACATTCCCTCACCGGGGTGGGCGGAAGGGCGCACGCAAGGCTGAGCACGGTTGAGACGTCTCGGCGATGGAGAGGTCAGCAATGGTGGGCGCAGATGGTGGTACGGATGCTCTGGGGTTCCAAAGTTCACGGCTGAAGATAGTCAGTGTCAAGAAGGTGGAGGATCACAGAGGCCGTCGAGGGTCCGTAGATGACCCAGGATGACTGCCTGCAGACGGGCCTGAGAGCGCCCCAGGGCGTCCAGGGTGCCCCACGAGCAGTCGTCTATCAATGGTTTCCCGCAATTCCGAAGTATGGGAAACCCATAGGTCGCCAATTCATTAGGGGTTTCTGGCGACCTATGGGCTTCCCATAACTCGCAGGCCGAAGGGCGGCCCACGGGAGACCTAAGACCGCCAAAGACAGTCCCAAGCTGGCCCAATGTGGCCCCACGATCGCCCAAGAGCGATCGGGGGTGGACAGAACCCCCAACAGTGACACGTCGATTAGTGAATTGTCCGTTTTCGGTTCTCGAGAGGGCGCCGCGGCCGTTATTTTCCAGGCTTGCGCCCGCCAGGTTTGGGCCTCAGGTCGTTTTCACTAAACCACGTTTTACTAAAGGGGGGTCTGTCCATCCCCGAAGCGAGCCCAAGGTCTCCCAGATCCTTCCAGTATGGCCTCAAGATGCCACAGAGGGCCCCAAGACGACCCGCCCGCACGCAACCCAAGCAGTTACGAAGCCTGGGAACTGCCTACGTTCTTTGGCTGCTTGTGGGACTCAACACTTTTTTCGGCGGAAGACGGCTCCAAGAGAGCCTCGGATAGTCCACAGGGCGTCCACGAGCAGTGGCCCAACGAGGGCCCCACGAGTAGGTCTCGAGATGGTCCAGAGTCCCGAGGTGGGCCCACACAGCGTCTGGAGGAGCCCTTGGCATCGCTCGGACGTGTGCATGTTTCCTTCGGCGAGGACCATCGAGGAGCATCCTTGGTCACTTGGCGAAGAAGACGCGCACGAAACCGCACAAAACACAGGGAATGGTCTCCGAGCGATGGCCAGAGCCGAGATAGCTCGGATCGGGCGCCAGCGGCGCCAGAACCGCGCCCTCGACCCTCCATGGACAGGCCTGCCAGCTGCTCTGCGCCGCGGTCTTGCGCGGCCTGGACATCACGTCCCTTTGGGCCAGGCGGGCGCGTCTTTTGCGCTCCGAGCTCCCGCCCCCCCTCTGGCCTCCGGTGGTGATCGCCCCGTGGCGGAGCAGCTCTTCTTTCCTGCGCTCCCTGACGTCTCGCTCTCAAAGCCTCGTGCACGATGCCGCCAGTCCGATCCCGTAGCCCCAGCAAGGTGAACTACCTCGTCCGCAAGAAGAACCGCCTCATCGAGCTGGACGGGCTGCTCAAGGCCAAGGCCATCCTGGCGGGGGCGCGCTTCGACGAGGAGGAGCTGCCGCCCGCCGCCGGGCGCCCGCGAGCCGAGGCCAGGGCTGGAGGGGACGCAGGAGGGAAGGCAACACACACAGACACAATGAATCGTCGATTCCCAGGAAGATATGGGAACATATGGGAAGTGGGGGGGAAGACGAAAACCCAGAAGCTATGAGAAAACATGGGGGATCTTTTTATCTGTGTGTATTTATTGGTGTGTCCCAGGGCCCCTTCAGGCACGCCAGGCCTCGAAGCCCCTCGCCCCTCGCCGGCGCTTCGCCGCGCCTCCTCGCCCCCTCCTCCCCCTCCCCCTCCCCCTCCCCCTCCCCCTCCCCCTCCTCCTCCTCCTCCTCCTTCTCCTCCTCCTCCTCCTCCTCCTCCTCCTCCTCCTCCTCCTCCTCCTCCTCCTCCTCCTCCTCCTGGGGGGGGCCGAGTGGGGGGGAGAGACGTGCGCGGCCGGGCTGCCCGAGCGGTGGCAGGACCCGGAGAGGGTGGGCCCGCGGGCCGCACGTGGCGCAGGCCGCAGGCGGCGCCGAGTGCCGAAGCCGCCGGACTCGATGGAGGAGGAGGAGGAGGAGGAGGAGGAGGAGGAGGAGGAGGAGGAGGAGGAGGAGTGGGGTTCTGCACGGCATGCTTCTCGCGCCCCCGGCGCGGGAGCCCCAGCCCCCGAGGCCGGCAAGTCGTCGGGGCTCCCGCTCGAGCCTCCTTTCGTCGCCGACATTCGCAAAGCTCGTCAGGGTCCTGCCGCGAGGGCGCCCTTCGTTGCCGTTCTCGTCGCCACCCCGCGCGTGCCTCCTGCGGCCCAGCTCTCTGGAAGCCGGCGCGTTGGTTGGCGCTCCTGCCGACGCCCTGCGTGGGTCGCGACTGGGCGTGGGCGGTCTCGTCCGTCCGGCTCCGCCGCAGGGGGCGCACCCCTCGGGACGGTGGCGCCTCTGGCGCCGGGAGGCGCCTCGGGAAATCAGCTACAGTCGGCCCTGATTGGTGCAGTCGGTTCGCTGAAGAAGGAACCCTTTTCGTTGGGGATGGGCTCCGTGTTCCTTAAGTGTTTCGCAGCTTGCCTCAGGTGGTCCTCATGTTTTCGGCGGGAAGTCGAAGTTTAACTCATGAAGAAAAGGGGCCTCGTTCCTTATTTAGGGTTCCTTTGGTCAACGCCCCGACTGTACGGTCGGCCCCGATTGGTAGGTCGACCATGCCAAATGGAGGGTACTCGTCGGTCGCTGACAGTCGGCATTTTTGGACCCTCTGATCCCGATCTGCTTTAGGCGCCCTCCTACTTCGATGATCGAGTGAGGTTCCCTTTTCCTTCGTCCTTCGGGGGGGGGGGCGGAAGCCCAAGCTACCTCAACGCCTTCCTGCTTCATGCTCCGGCCCACTTCTTCCGACCGACGGGTACCCTTGTGTCCTATCTATCCCGACCGCTGCAACCCGCATGCCCCCTGGTGTCCTCGGGCCGCGCTGCCGACGGAAGAGCCTTCTCTGTCTTCTCGGGCGTCCTCTCCAATCAATGTCAGGGGGGACAAAAACACAGACACCATGAATCGTCGATCCCCCAGGAAATGTGGTAAAATATGGGAAGTGGGGGGGAAGACAAAAACCCTGAACATATCGGAACGTATGGGGAATCTGGCTATTTGAGTTTATTTATTTGTGTGTCCCAGTTCCCCTTCAGATTCGCTGGCCCAACCCTCCACCACCACCTGGGGAAGGTCGGCTGCGCGAGCCGCTTCGCGCCCCCCCCCATTCCCCTGGCATCGTTCGGACGTGTGCATCTTTCTCCTCGGCGAGGACCCTCCTCGGCGAGGACCATCCAGAACCATCCTGGACCATCGAGCAAAAAAAAACACGCGCACGAAGCCGAAGAATGCAGGGGAAATTTTCTTGGCGAGGACCATCCAGGACCATCCTGGACCATCGAGCAAAAAAAAAAACGCACGCACGAGACCCCCCAAAAAATGCACGGGAAGTGGACGTCCGAGCGAGGGCGAGAAACTCTGCCTGCCTGCGCAGGCGCCCCCCCTCGGGCATCCCAAGAGGCCACCGCGCTGCCGCGCACCCCGGCGCGTGCGCGCACAGGGCGGCCCCGGGCGGGGCCGAGCCTTCCCGGAGAGGGGAGGGAGGGGCCAAGGGGAGGAGGAGGAGGAGGAGGAGGACGAGGAGGAGGAGGAGGAGGAGGAGGAGGACCAATGGGGAGGAGGAGGAGGAGGAGGAGGGCCAAGGGGAAGGAGGAGGAGGAGGAGGAGGAGGAGGAGGAGGGCCAAGGGGAAGGAGGAGGAGGAGGAGGAGGAGGAGGAGGAGGAGGAGGAGGAGGGAAGGGGGAGGAGCGGCCGGGCCGCTCGTGAGGCACGCTCGGTGCAGACGTGGTTGGAGGAGGGGGGCCACCGCACGAGCCACCCTCCTGGCCCCTGCGGGCCAGGAGGAGGAGGAGGGAAGGGGGAGGGGCGGCCGAGCCGCCCACGAGGCACGCTCGGTGCAGACGTGGCCCCCGCCCCCCTTACTTGCCTGCTGCTCCCCCCCCTCTTCCGACCGGCCCAGAAGTCGGAAGGGGCACGTTCCCCAGGCTCCGCCCCCTCGTGGGCGCTTCGCCGCTTCTCCCCACCGGGGCCCCTTCGGAGGAGGAGGGGCCCCCCCCCCCCCCCCATCCCCCTCCCCCTCCCTCCCCCGACTCTGCTCCTCCTCGTCCTCTTTTCCTCGTCCTCCCCCTTCCCCTCCCCCTCCCCGCCCCGGACCCTCCTCCTTCTTCCCCTCTCCCCTCCTGTCTGGGGGGGGGGCCACCCCTCCCCCTCCCTCCGTCCTCCTTCTCCCCCTTTCCTCATCCTCCCTCTTCCCCTCCCTTCCCCCCCCCCCCTCTTCCCTGGTGGGGGGGTGCAGCTCATTTTCCGTGCCTGGGCCTTCCTCTGAGGATCTCTCTCTTGCGAGGCGCGGCCAGAGAGGCCCGGCTTCTGGGCGAGGAGCAGCGCCCGGCCTCGATACGCGATCCTCGATCCTAGATCAATCATCGACCCTCGATCCTCGATCCTCGATCCTCGATCGATCCTCGATCCTCGATCCTCGATCGATCCTAGAGCCTAGATCGATCCTCGATCCTCGATCCTCGATCCTCGATCGATCCTCGATCCTCGAGCCCCCATGGCCTCTCGGAAGGCCGCTCGCGCCGTCCCCCCTTCCTGCGCGCCGCCGACCTCGGACGGGAGGGGCGGCCGCCGCAGCCAGGGGGGGGCCTCGAAGTTCTACCAGATCTGGTGGAAGGAGGGGGTATCGACTACACGTCCTTCTCCTCCTCCGCCTCCGCCTCCTTCTCCTCCTCCTCCTCCTCCTCCGCCTCCTCCTCCTCCTCCTCCTCCTCCTCCTCCTCCCTCCTCCCTTGAAGACAGCACAACCCCTCCCCAACCCCACCCAGGACTCCACTACCGAGCCTCCTCCTCCGCCTCCTCCTCCTCCTCCTCCTCCTCCTCCTCCTCTTATCCAGGGTCACTCACTTTTGCGTGTAGCCGAGGGGAGTGGGGGCTCAAGCGACGGGGGTCAGTACAAACGGGGGTCAGCCAGACCGCCGGATCTTGCAGTATCTTGCAGAGCCAGGGGTGCGCTGACCTGGGCTAGCGCGCAGGATCCTGCAGGACCCTGCAGGATCTTGTAGGATTTTGCAGAGCCCAACTGACCTGGGTTCGGATTGACCCGGGTCAGTAGATCCCCGAGGGAGGTCGGGCGTTGAGAGAACGCTCGAGGAAGGGCAAAGATGGATGACATCGAAGAGCACAACATTGCATGATCATGTTTTGTTGGCGGACCGTCGATCTCGATCAGGTGTGTGGATGCCGTTTTCTGTTTTTGTTCTCAGTTCGAGGAAGAGCGAACATGGGTGAAGGCGCGTGGATGAGCGAAGGGCCCCGCTTCCTGAAAACATCGGCGCGTCACGTCGCCACGCCAGGCGGCCTTGGCTTCCTGGTTCCGGGGGGTGCTGTCTCGTTCTGTGGAGCTGGCGCCCATGCGCCAGGTCCACGGATCCGTAATCCATGCTAGCGTGCCTGGCATCGCTCGGACGTGTGCACTTTTCCTTCGGCGAGGGCCATCGAGGAGCATCCTTGATCATTTGGCGGAAAAAAACACGCACGAAACCCAAAAAAGCACAGGGAATGGACGTCCGAGCGATGGCCAGCGCGCGCCCGAAACGCCCACCATGACAAGTCGATTCAGGAATTCTGCACCGGATCACTCGACGTCGACATTCGACTGTATCCATGCAGCCCCCAGTCGGCTTCGCGGATCGACGTGTGTTCTGCCGGATACATCCGGCTGTCTTTGGATGTCGATTGGCTATTCCGCACAGTTGCGCTCGGAATGCGGTACCTCGCGCACCCGTGAAGTGCCCTTGCCATCTCTCACGGAAGGGAGTTTTGCTAAAGGGGCTTGTCTCAATCTTCGCGGAAGGTGGGGGGCCAGGAGCGAGCAAGAGGGGTGAGGATTAGGGGTGGGTGGATATACCGTAGCTGGGCCACGATGCATCCACATATTTTACGCCCCCCTTTCTTTTGTTTTGGGGGGGAGTGGCGGGGAGGAGTAAGACGCCGAGGGGGAGGGGCAGGGGTAAGGTTTCCAGGGGAGGGGGAGATGAGAGGACGTTGGGGAAGAGGGGAGGGGGAGGGGGGATCCCTGGGGTAGAGCGGATCTCTGCAAGAGGGGCGGGAGGGAGGTGGTGGGAGGAGAGGGGATGATGACAAGACAACCGCGCTCACGCCATATCTGACATCTCACCCCTCCAACCATGCTATATTCGCTGGCTGGGGTGTCCCAGTTGGCCTTGATCCCCCAAATGTCCCCCATCGTCTGATGCGCAATCTGAAGTGTAGGGCTTCGACATTGGACGAGGAGGAGGCTCGCGCAAGCAAGAGCAGGAGAACGAGCAGGATGATTCGGAAGGAGGAGGATGAGCAGGAACAGGGGAAGGAGCAGGAACAGGAGGAGTAGCAGGAGCAGCAGGACCCGGGGAAGGCGGAGGGAAAAGGAGGGGCACGGCAACGATGAGGAACGAATCTGATCAAGTAATGTGGCCCGCGTTGTGGCGAGAGCGCAAATCTGAACTACGGGAGCAAAGCGCCGATTTGTGGGGAATCGAAAGGGTCCGATTGGCAAATTCACAAGAACTCATTATTTGGCACCCCGTGTCTAGGAAAATGCCATGTGCAGGGTGGGGGGCGTCCCCGCCAAACACAGCAAGCATCAGGGGATGCACGAGATCAGTATTCGCATTGTGTAACTCCTGTGAAGACACTGGGGGCGAGAAAGGGGACATGCAGGAAGGGGGGAGACAGGATGCCGGGGAAGAGGATCCGGAGCAGGATGAGAATGAGGAGGACGAGAGTAAACCCTCCCTCCTCCCTCCCCTCCCTCCCTCTCCCTCCCCCCCTCCTCCCTTCCCCCTCCCTCCCCCTGCCTCCCCTCCCTTGTCTCCCTTGGCATCGCTTGGACGTGTGCAATTTTCCTTCGGCGAGGACCATTCATCGAGGAGCATCCTTGATCATTTGGCGAAAAAACCACGCACGAAACCAAAAAAAAACACAGGGAATGGACGTCCGAGCGATGGCCAGCTCCGCCTCCTCCCACCCGTTCCTCTCCCTCTCCACCCCCGCCTCCACCCCCCCCTTCCGCCAACGACGATGCAAACAAACGCCCTCCCGTCCCAAGGCCCCCTCCCCACGGGCCCTCGTTCCCCCTGCGGGCGGCGCCCCCCCAGCCACTCGGGCGAGACCTCGTCCTGTAACAGACCCACTCCTTGGCATCGCTCGGGCGTGTGCATTTTTTTTCGGACGTGTGCAGCTGCTGTCGGCGAGGACCATCGAGGAGTGTCCTGGGCCATCTCACGAGAAATGCGCGTGCAAAGCAGGAAGCTGCACGGGGAATGGACCTCCGAGCGGTGGCGAGACCCCTCCCTCCTTCGGGGGGCGCTGGGGGGGGCGAAGGGATGTGCTGCCCGTCCCCGTCGCCCGGCTCTGCGACCTCCAGCGAGGGGCCCACTCGCCGCTGGGATCTCGGACGCCCCCGCCAGGGGTCACCCGGTGGAGCAGGCATCCTTCGCACTCGGAACTCCAGCAGCCCTGTGGGAGATCCAATCGGCAGGCCTGCGTAGGGTTCACGTGCGGTGACCGATCGACACCCCCAGACCCCCGACGTCATGATTTTTGCGCACAGTGGACCCCCGGGGACAGGCATTCGTGCCGAGCTCTTGCCGGCCCCAGGGCCCAGCGAGGGCCCCCGGCGACCGAACAGGGCCAAAAACGTATTGTCGCGAGTTTTTGTTAGCGGCGCGAGCGTACGGTCAGGGACTTTGGCCTAGCGTGTCGCGCCGCTGATCCTGGCCCACCGCGTTTCGACGCGACATGCTAGCCACGCCCGAGTCCCTAGGCGTCAACGTGTCGAGCTTCTCCCAGCCTCCCATCCCACGGAGCGGAGCGACACGCAGTCGGCGTGCAAGGCGTAGCGTGTCGCCGCGCCCGCCGCCGCGACGCGCGAAGCAAAAGTTCCTGACCGTACAGTCGGGGCGCTGAAGAAGGAACTCTTTTCGTTGGGGAGGGGCTCGATGTTCCTGGATTGCTTCACAGGCTGTCTCAGGTTTTCCGGAGGTTTTCCACAGGAGATCGAAGTTGAACTTCTGGGAAAGAGGGGCCTCGCTCCTTATTTAGGATTCCTTCGGTCAACGCCCCGACCGTATCTGGGGTGCTTGCCCACCGACGCCCGCCCGCGCGCCGCCGCCTCCTTGCGCCCGGCCGCGAGCCCGCGGCCCACCTTCCGGCGCCCCCGCCGGGGCCGGCGGGCGGGTGGGCGGCCATGTCGACGGCCGAGGGGTTCTCGACCGGAGGCAGGGGCCCGACGCGCTGGAGCCTTCTAGGCCTCCCAGATGGGGTCGGAGTAGATGGGGTCGGAGGGTCGCGCCGCATCGCCGATGCATCGGCGATGCATCGGCGATGCGGCTCGATGTGGGGCCCAATGTTCTCCAGGCCGACGTCGTCGTTGCATCGCTGACGTCGCCGATGCATCGCCGATGCATCGCTGATGCGTCGCCGATACATCGGCGATGCATTGGGGATGCCGCGAGATCCTTCGGCCTCATCTACTCGGACCCCATTTAGGAGGCCTCTAGGAGTGGTGGGCGGTTGGGGTGAAGTGGAGGCAGGTTTTCCGTTTGAGGTGTGAGGTGTTCGGATGTGTCCGTCGGTTCTCGGTTGTTTTCTTTCTCGCCCGGAGGCTGGGGCCCGATCTGGGAGGGGTGGGTGCTTGGGGAGAAGGCAGGTTTCTGCTTGGAGCTTCGAGGTTTTCTGATATTTGTTCGTCTGTTCGAAGTTCTTGGCAGCCTTCCAGCCGCGGGACGCCTTCCAGCAGCGACGCCTCGGCGAGAGGCGTCTGACCAGATCGTCCCGAACGGCCGCCAGAGATCCCCTTGACCCGAAAGCCGGACGACGATGTCGACGGCCAATGGGTGCTAGACCGGAGGCGGGGGCCCCGGATGTTTGAAGGACGGGTGTTCCAGCATTTCGGCCTCCGTGCCCCGATGTCGGGCCCTGTGACCAGCGCAGTGACAACCACAGTTCCTCCGATGTCTGGTGTCGGGGTCGCAGACAGGGAGCACCTGGCCTAAGAGCGTAGGCGTCGGCCCCCAATCGCCCATGCCGCCCATCCCGGCGAGAAGAAGGATCGGTTGCACGCAGGAGTTCGAGTAGGAGATGGAGTGTACAACTGATTTACCCCAGAATTCGACTATTTCTCGAACCTGCGAAAAATGCGTAGAATCGTCGTAGATCTACGGGAATTCTGTATGTTTCGTAGATTCGACGAACCAATCTATTTTGGGAGCCAATCGATTCTGTAGTCGATCTTCTACTCGAGCGCATGAGCCAGGGGCAACGATGTGGGGGATAGGCTCAGGTGGGAACGCATCGGCACCCAATCGCCACCTGATGGTCGACGGAGTCTGCTAGCTCCACCCTGCCCAGCAGCGTGCAGAGTTATTATCGGGGGCATCGCCGATCTATCGGCCATGTACCGCCGATCCCAGGTTTATGTTTCCCATCCTGAGCCTGTCCCTCTCTCTATCGTTGCCCCTCAAAGAGTTCCAGACATGCGACGTCCTGTTGTTGTTAAATGCGGGGCCCCAGGAAGTCCCGACCCTGTCCCCAGATCCGGTTTTCCGTTCTGCGTCGCTGTTGTTGACGGTCCTAGGGCTCGGCGAGGGCCCCCAGAGGCTAGACAATGCCAAAAACTTTGCGTCGTGATTGCTCCGTGACGCGAGGATGTCTGGGGTGTCTCTTCGTTGGAGTGGATCTGGGTGCGAGGCTTTCACGAGGGGTCAGCCGCGCCCAGAGGGGGTTTGGGGGAGGGCTTCTTTGCAGCACCCCTGCTTCCCAGCAGCAGAGGACGGCCCCTGGGGCCTGGCGGCGAGTGAGGGTTTGGGAAGGGCGACCGACGCTCGGCCGAGAAGCGGAGGGTGCTCGAGCGACAGACCGCCGTTCCGTGGCCCACCTCCTCTGGGAGGGGCGGACCAGGGACCATGCCGCGGCCGTGCTCGGCGCCCCATGCCATCTCGCGTAAGACCCCTTTTTCTTGGCATCGTCGGGGGCCACGTGCGAACCCTACCCCCACCCCCCACGATTTCTGAGGTGGAGGGTGGGGCTCTCTTTGTTCGGGAGCCCCCGAGCGAAGTGAACCCCACCCTCCCCCTCAGAACTCGTTAGGGGCAGGGCTAGGGTTCGCGCGTGGCCCCGCACATCGCCCGGACATGTGCATTTTTTCTCGGCGAGGACCATCGAGGAGCACATAAAAAACTCGGCGGCCCTCGGTGCCGCCTCTGCCCCATGCCCGGGGCTCGGCCACGCCGCGGCCGTGCCTGGCGCCGCCAGTCAGGGCGTGCGGGGTCCCCGGGGCGGTGGCCACCGCGGGGCGCACGGGCGGTGCGAGCCTGGGGCCCTGCGTTCTGCACGAACGAACAACACACACCCATACTCATGAGGGGGTCGTTGGGAGGAGGACTGGCTATGGGTATGGGTGCTGGTTGTCGGACCCTAGGGAACGCTCCCGTTCGAGCGGGGACCCCCATCCGACAACACGCACCCATAGCCCTCTCCGACCCCCCTATGGGTATGGGTGTGTGTTGTTGGTTCGTCAGAGTGGGCACGGAAAGAATGGGCACAATGCCCAACGCAGTTCCCGTTCAGTTTGAACAGGGCTCGCTGTCCGCGCCGCCGCGGCTGTGTCCGTTTGAGACAGGACGCCGCATGCCCAACAGCGGCCGCTGTTGGTTTGGGACAACATGTGTCGTTGGGCATTGTACCCATTCTTTCCGTACCCGTTTCGGGCGTCCAAATGCGTGGCCACGGAGGGAGGAGGATCGGGTTGGTCATGTCCGAAGTCTGGCGGCGAGCGAGGAGAGGAACCAAGAAGGAGAAGACCTTCTAAGAAGGCGGTGTGACTTCGCAGAAGCCCCGCCGCCTGCTGACAGTTTGTGCTTGTGCCTTCGGGGAAGGCTTGGAAACTTCTCAGAAGGCCGGGGGGCTTCCGAGCCTTCTGAGAAGGCCCGCCCCTTCTCACTTGCCCCCTCGCTCACCGCCGAGTAGTGCAAGTCGGGGGCTAGCAGGCGGGAAGCTTCGAGTCAGAAGCAGACACTGGCTGTCACCGCCGGCCGGGTAAACGTCACAAGGTCACTTGGCGGTGAGCACTTCAACGCGGCAGTTGGGAGACAGGGGTGAGCTCTTCGAGGACAGAAGTATTGTCCTCAGCGTGCGAGGGGTGCTTACTCTCCCGCACTGGCTTTAGAATAGACTTGAGGTGGTCATTGGCACCTGTGCAAGTCCAAGACTCACCAACGATGCTGCCATCAACCCTTCCTCCAAGTTCCCTCCTCAGAGGCCCCCACAAAGACTCATTCTCACTGAGGGGGTTTCCCCGTTGGAAGACAACCGTCTGAAAACCAGGAACCGCCCCAGAACACCATTCCTGTGATTTCAACGCCGCGACTTAACGTTGCTGTTGAGGCGTGACGATCCTCAATCATGCCAGAACAACAGCCACTTGGGACTTCTACACTGCGAATCCATATAACTGCTGCGCCCTGACATCCTACATCGTGCCAACATCACCATTTGTGAGACGGTAGCCATGACAATCCTTGGAACTCCGTCAGTCGGGCGCCACATGTTGAAAACCACCCGCATTCAATCCGGTAAGCGAATGTGCGTGGTGTTGAGGCGAGAGCTACGAGTTGAAACGACCCGCCCTCACCGCGTACATGCTTTGCGAAATGTCTCAAGACATCTTTTTGCGCCAGGGGTCCAGACCTGCTCTGCCACGCGTGGGCGCAGGAATGGGCTGTCCTTCGCGAAGCGTGCGGAGGTTTGGATCGCTTGAGGGAGTGTGGCTCGGCGGACGTGGGTGGGGCCAGAAAAGGTCGTCGAGCGTGGTCGGCCACGCGCAGAGGGGAGTACGGAGAGGGGGGAAGGCTTCTTAGAAGCACCCTTGCTTCTTAGGAGGCGCGGGCCTTCTCTATACATCTGAGGCGGGCGCCCTCAAAGAAGCAGCCCCTTCAAAGAAGCAGCCCCTTTCTAAGAAGCCCTCCCCCCTCCTCCTATCCCCCTCTGCGCGCCGCCATCGGGGTCCGACAGAGTGTTTCTTTTTTTTCACAGCGGGGACAGGTCTCGAGCCCTTCCCCAGCACCG